TCTGTTGGCCACAGCAATGCATGTTTGTTGAGTGACTGACAAACGTCAGCCCTGTGTTGGCAGGCCTCCTTCTCCCTTTGTTGCCCTGGGAGGTGGGGTCACCAGACCAGCCACAGCCTGGTGACCAGCTCCTCTGTCACAGGTGCCCTCTCTAGACTATGGTTTGGCCCTCTGGTTTGACGCCTATGCGCTGCGGAGGCAGAAATACGACCTGCCGTGCACCCAGGGCCAGTGGATGATCCAGAACCGGAGGTACCCACCCCTGGAACCCCGTCCTCTCCCCACAGGAACTCCCCCTGGAAGCCCAAGCCCTGGACCTCAGAGGAGCAGCACAGGAGGAGGGCGGAGTCAGAGCTTCTCAGGCCTGTGCCCCGCCCCTTTGACCCAGTCCCTGTCACACTCCCACCCAGGCCCCAGCTTCCGTTCTTGCCACCCGATAGTCCCAGACACTCATTTGTCATCAGACGCCTTGGATGTCGATCCTAGTTAGAGTGAAACGGTTTCATTTCCTTGGGTGCCGTCACCCAGTCTGGTACCCTAATCCTTAAATGTGGTGATGCGGAAGCCGCAGGCCTCAGCAGTGCTAGAGAGCCTTTCCCTAAACCACCCACGTGCAACTGGAGGCCCCACTGCCCTTATCCTGCTCCCTGCTCCTGGTCAAAATCAGGTGGCTTCCTGCCTGGAAAACTGCACGGCCAGGGCCAATGACACTGTTGCAAACCCAACTGCTTTTCTTGCCCTTGACCCCACTGGTGACAAAGTTTCTGAGGAAGAAGTGAGTCCCTCGTGGAGGTGGGCAGAATGGGCAGAACAGTGGGGCCGTGGCTGCAGTTTTTTAATCAGTAGGATGAGGATTGGTCAGTGCCCACTGGGGCGGGCAGGTGCTGGTGGTCCTGGGTCCTGGACCCAGGCTGGGTCGGAAGGCAGGGCAATGGAGCCGGGGAGAGGAGGCAACCAGTAGATATTCAAGGGAGAGGATCTTTACAAAGGGGAGGGGTGTGCTCCATGTCTAAACGCTGTGCAGGAACTCCGATAGAGAAAGAAAGATGACTGAGGTTCAGGCATAGAGGATAATGATTGGAGGGGAGGGCTGGAAGGGGAGTGGGTGGCATGGAGGAGGAGCAGAAGGAGGCCCCCACGGCTCCATTATTGGGGTGCAGAGGCTTCAGGAGAGAAGAGGGATCTTGAAGTAGCTTTGCAAAGCCAGGGAGTCCCCTCCCCACCTGAGGTCCAAGGACATTGAAGAGAAGATTCTATATCTAATAGCAGGTGGGGCCTCTGACCTCCCTTCCAACGCTGGGGTTCTGGGGGGCCTAACAGGCTGGGATTCTAATATGCAAGGTCTGACTTCTTGATTCCAATAAACTACAGTTGGAAGGTTCTGGAACTCTGGAACGCTTGGATTCTGGGGTTGGTGTTCACATTCACTGGCACTTATAGGTTGATCCTATTCGAAGGCATCAGCCAGGCAGAGGTGACAGGGATTAGCAGTGCTGACTCACCATCATCCTTTCTAGGTCTTTTGCAACTTATCAGGGACTGTGATTAAAAGGAAAAAGAAAAAATGCCAATGGTGTGAGTTCAGGCCCATCATGCTGTTGTGGGGAGTGGGGTGGGGGGAAGTGACACCAGATGGTGTGACTGACCCTGTGCTGTTTGGGGAACAGAAGTCACCTTGTTCCACCAGTCCCAGTATGTGGGTGGCACTTCTGGGCATGACTGCCTTGATCCTTCATGGCGTTCCCTTGGGGATCCCTGTCCATCTGCCTGGGGCCTGACCAGACTGAGGATGGCTGTGCTCACCCCTAAGCTTCAGGAGCCCACAGAGTGACCCTGAGAGTGGCCCATGAGTCACAGCTCTTTGAATGACGACAATGTGTTTTCCTACCCTCCTCTCAACCCCAGAGCTGAATCTGATATCTGGGAGAGGGGCAAGAAAGGGCGAGAAGGGCCCTGGGTCTGATGTTCCTGACCTTACCCGCTGCCCACCCACCCCACCCCATGGCTATTCCACCAGCCAGGAGCCGGCCCTGGCACCAGGCACTCAGCCGCACCAAGCTTGGTGCTCAGCGCGGGCATTCATTTCATTGGCCCAACGGCCTGTGACCTCCACAGTATCATCGCCCCATTTCCCACAGAAGGGACCTGAGGCTCAGTGGGATTAGGTGGTGTCAGATGGGTCCACAGCCAGCGTCTCTCCCATGCCCACCACCCGGAACAGCAGGACACGTGGCGGCCCACACTGTGCTCCCTCTGGAGAGCCTTCCTCCTCCCTTCCTCATGCAGCCGGCAGGCGTTGGGCAAGGGGATAGGAACTGGGTGCTAGGGACTTCATGAGGACCACAGATGAGGACAGTCTTAATTAAAAGGAGCGATGCTGCGATGGTGGAATTTCAGGCACTGGGACAGATTCTAATGAGGTTGGGGTGGGGGTGGGGGACTCCCCCTCTCAGTGTCTCAAAGCACCACTGAGCTCTAGAAAGCGTGAACTGAACTGGCCTTTGAGCCCAACCCTCACCCATTGTGCAGGGGGGGAAACTGAGGCATAGAGAGGGTTAAGGACTTGGCCTCTTGTCCTTGTCTTTTTGCCTTGAAATGGTGGAGAGAGACTTCAGGGTGCACCCAGGTAGTGGGTGGGGAGGGGAGGGGGAGGCCTGAGGGAGCCCAGTGCCCCCATCCCTCTCCTCTCGCCTCCCATGACTCCCCCAGCCTCACGGGGGTGAAGAATTGCCAGGCGAGTCTGGCCACCTGGTTTCTGCATATAACTCTGGGGACGCCTTCTTCCTTATCTGTAAAACCAGGAGGTTAGGCCAGCCCAAGTTCCCAACTTTTAATTGTTTACCCATCAGAGAAATGTCACCCAATACGTTGCGTTGATTAGTTCTTAGTGGAATGTCACTGTGGAGAGAGCTTAGGTGTGGAAACCAAACAGAACAGTGTCCAAATCCTGGCTCCTCCTCTTCCCACTTAGCAAGGACTCACCTCTCCCAGAGTCAGGTAACGCATCTGGAAATGGGCATGAAACAGACCCCCCCCCACCCAGGGACGACGAAATGAGATAATGGATGGAGGACACTTGCGTCTGCGTGGCCTGGAAAAAGTGCAGCTCCAGAAAGCAGCCGCCATGAATTAATAACAGTTGGCTCTCGACACTTGGTGCGGGGCAGGCACCAAGCTAAGGGGTTTGAGGTGCTATTTCCTTTATCTTCAACAAGCTAGTGAGGAGGCAGGCCCCCGTGCTGCCATCATGCACCACAGAGTAACCTGAGGCTCAGAGAGGAAAAGTCATGTGCAGAAAGTCACTCAACTTGTAGCCGAAGGAGCCAGAGTTGAGTAAGGTGGTGTGAGTGTGCTTATGTGTGCATGCATCCGTGCACGTATGTGTGCACACGGAAGTGCTCACGCTATTGCAGATTCTTCCCGCAGAACCTCTGAGCAGCTGTGCCAGCTGTTCACTCTCTTGGCCAAGGCATTCCCGACCAGACCAATCTATTGGCACCCTGGTGAGAGGACTGACAGTTTCTGTGTCTCTCACCAGTTCAGAGAGCAGCCAGGAAAGTCCCATTTCTATCTTCTCAATCCTTCGGTAAGGATCCGGGGTCCCGAGGTGGAGACTCATGGCCCCCTGCCCCCAGGCTCCTGCCCGTTTCTGAGTGTGGAGGGGAAGGCAGAGGCGTATCTCCAAACTATAAGCACTGGACAGACTGTTTCCTCTAGTTATGATCTTCTTTTTGATAATGATCATCCTATGTAGATGCTGGGAAATTCTTTGAATGAGCATTTGTTGGAAAATCTGCTTGTGTGGGTGGCAAAGACATGAGAGGCCTGGGGAAGGGTATAGATTTCCAGGCACAGGGTTTGTAAGGAGAGAGAGGCACAGTCTTTGGGCCCAGAGTGACAAGGAAAAACAGAGGGGGTGAGGGGGTCATGGACAGGGTGTCTTACCCCTCAGATGCCAGCGTAGTGAGGAGGAAAGGCTGGTCTGGGCTCCCTCCGCTGGCTGGGCATCCTTGCGCACATCGCCTCACTCCTCTGAGCCCTCTCTGCCTCTCCCCACCTCCCTGCTTTCTACCCAACTTCTCTCAGTGCCCACCTGACCCCAGCCTTATGCCCTCTGAGTTGCCTGGAGGCAGGGGAGGGACTTGGCCTTGTGAGCTTCAGCCCCAGCTGCTTGGTTTCACAGAACCCAGAACCCAGCCTGGCTGGGCGTCACCGCAGCAAGGCTTCCCCCTTTCTGGGAACCTGCCCCTCGCCAGCTTCCTCTCCTGTGATGTCACTTTTCTTGTGATCTACCCAACTATTTCCACCTACTTCTCGCCAATGGGGACAGGAAGAACCACTGGCTTTTTCAGCCTGCTGGAGCCTCCGTTGGCCTGACCTGGCTATAGGGTGGCCCTTTGGCTCCCCTGAGCCACTGGGGGGTGCTCAGCACTGCCTGTCACCATCGAGGCTCCCTGGGCATCGCTGAGGGTCTGACCCTAGGCTGGGTGCTGGAAATGAGGACGACAGAACTACAGCTGCTGCCATGGATGCATTCACAGCCTGACAATGGTCAGCAGCTTGCTTTCAAAAAAGTCACTTTCTCATGTGTTCCTTAAAACATCCTACAAGGGAGATAATATCACTTCCATTTTACAGACATGAAAACTGAAGCTTGCTGAGGTTAAGCCATATGCCCAGGATCACACAGCTGGTTCATGTGGCAAAGCTGGGCCTCAAGTTCAGCTCTGCAACTCCAGGTGCAATGCTCTGGCCACCACATCAGATGCTTCTGTCCTCTCTTCTTTAGAGTTTGCCTTCTCTGACCCAGCTCCCCATTTAACCTGTCCTTAGGGAAGGGAATGTATGCATGCATCCACTCATCTAACCATCTAACCACCCACCCAGCCAGCCACCCATCCAATATTTCTTGAATTCTTCCCTGTGTGGAGTTACAAGAAGGTTGACAGGTCCATCTGAGGCAAGAAGGGAAAAAATCTCTAAATCTAGAGAGGTGAGAAAGCAAGGTAGACCACAGTGCAGAAATGTGCCTTCAGCACGCTGTAGCTGAGACGAGGTGGGTTCCACAGCCTTCAGACTTCGGGTGCCTCTTGGAGAGGGCTTGTGGGGGAGGAGGTTGCATTTGGTGGGTGGGGAGGAACTGGAGAGCTAGAGGATGTGTACTCTCTCCTAGAGACTCTGCAGCAGGAACCAGAAACGCAGATGGACAAAGAGGCCAGGCTTGTGTGTAGTTCCATGAGGCAAGCTGCTCGGGGGACAGTGGGAGAGGTAGAGACCTAGTTAGCAGGGCACATGTGACTTCCCTAATTCGGGCGGCCTCAAACACTAGCCATTGTTTCTGGGCTTATTTTTCAGGAGAAGCATGAGTCTAGATCAGGGATTGGCAAACTGCGGCTCGCGAGCCACATGAGGCTCTTTGGGCACGTACACGTGGCTCTGAAGTAAAATTGAAAATGAAAATAAAACTATCATAGTTTCATTTATAAAATTTTTGAAGGATAGTATTCACATAATGGTGATTCCATTTGTTTTATGGCTCTCGAATAATTTTTAAATTGTTGTGAAGGACAGGGTTGGCTCTTCCGTCTCAAAAGTTTGCCGACCCCTGGTCTAGATTATTATGTGAAATTAGCTGGCAACTAAATTTGAAAAAACATTTAACACTTCATAGACCAAACAGGTCATCTTTAAGTGGAGTGACTCAACCTGCGTCACTAGATTACAGCCTCTGCCTTGAATTCTTGCCTGCTCCCTACTAACCAAGAAGCATGGCCCATGAATTCTGCTACCCCCGCCCCTGCCCCAGGCCTCCCAGGTGTGAACTAATGCTGCCCAGACTGGGCAGGTTCCTGGGGTACTGGGCTGAGCCACAGGCTGATTCCGGAATTCTCTCTCGGATGCCAGTAGAGAAGGCACCCTGTCCACAGGCGCTGGTACCTTACAGCTCCTGGCCAAAGCTTTGGGTGACCCTGTAGCTCCCAAGTTCTTCTAGATTGAAATGTTCCACTCCCCTCCCACCCGGCTCCGGTTCCTTCCTGTCTCCTCACAAGCTTCAGGGACTGTGTGGAGATAGCGCCCCAAGTCCCTGAACCTGAAGATGTTCAGGGATGGATGCACTTAACTTTTCATTTCCTCCTCTCAGTATTCCTCAGTATTCCCCTAGCTGCCGTCTGCTCCCCAAGGCAGTTCTCTGGGGATAATACTCCATGATAACGTTTGTGTATTCACTTTAAAAACAAACAAATGAAGAAACCCTCTTGTTTATTCAGTTTTAACAAGACAAGAAGGGCCAGGCTTGCTCGGGGGTGCCCCCTAGTGGTGTGTCTGGCCTCCTGGACTGTGGGAATCAGTGTAGAGCTGTGGTTCTCAAAACTTTCCACTTCAGGACCCCTTGACACTTTGCAAAATTACTGAGCACCCCAAAGAGTTTTTATATAGGTTATATAATTTATATTTAAGTATTAGAAATTAAAACTGAGAAAACTTAAAAATATTTATCAATGCTTTTAAAATAATAATAAGCCCATAACATTTTAACATAAATAACACATTTTATTTAAAAGTTACATTTACCAAAACCAAAAATACTTGGTGAGAAAAACATTATCATTTTACATTTTTGCAACTTTCTTTAGTAACTGGATTAATAGACCGTAACTGGGTCCCCACATTTGCTTCTACATTCAATTGGTTACCATAGCAAAATCACACAGTTTCAGGAAAATTCCACTGTATCCTTGTGCATTATTATGAGAATAATTTTAACCCTGGACCCCCAGGGGTTCCTGGACTGCAGCGGTGTCTGGCCGCTGCCGCCAGACAGTATAAGGACACCATACCTTAGGCCAGGTCTGTGGGGAGATGTGGGGGACATGAAAGCTCAGCTCCTGAAGCTCATGTTGCAGTGAGAGTCAGGTTGCCCACCTCCCCCTGAGCAGGCTGGGTGGGTCTTCCTGGGTCCTCAGCAGACTGGATTCTGGCCCCGGGTAGAGTTTCTTCAAGATCGAAATCCTTGTACAAGGAGGCCTTTCCAAGCTGCTGCCAATGGGGGGCGGGGGAAGGCGGATGAGAGGGTGCAACTGTGTCCAGCCCCCAGCTTGAGGGGTTACCATAGCGCTGAAGCTCCTCCTCAGTTTTCATTGGTTAACTCTCTGATTGATTAATTGAACTAAGTGCTTAACATGTTTTAAAATTTCTGAGGACGTGCCTGGCCCCTGGGAATCAGGCGACCTGCTCTGTGGGGTGTTCGCACTATGGAGCACTCACTCCCAGCTGCTCTCTTGACTTCCTCCGACCTTACCTGCTGGGGCACGTTTGCCTCTCTCTCTGTAGATCTTTCAAACCGTATTCTGTAAAGGCATTCGTATTTGCTCTGTGAGGGTACCCCCCCCTTCCCTGTGGGGACATTCTATGAGCTTGTGGGCCTGACCCACTTGTCCTGTGAGGGTGTCCCACCTGGGAAGGCAGGGAACTCCATGCTGCTCTTCGTGGAGGGTCCGGCTCTGGGTGTGCGGTTGTGTCTGCTCCACTGGCTCGCCCACTTGCTCTGTGAGGCAAGGTCCACCAAGACTCCACGTGGGACGAGTGCCCTGTGCCCCCCACCCTGGAGATGGGAGGATGCCTACCTGTTTTCTGGGGAGAATTCTGTCTCTCTGTGGAGGTTCTCCCACCTGCTCTATGGAAACAAAAGTGTCTTCTTGGGAGGGGAGTGGTCCAGCAAGGATTTAGGGGTGTTTCCATGGCTGGAGGAGGGTCCCGCCAGGTGTGGTCATGCACGGAGAAGGAGCTACCCATCAGCACTGCGCTACAGGTCCTGTAGCGCAGGACCGGTGCCTCCTTCATGCCCACAGGGTCATAGAGAGACCACCAGGGCTGTGGAGGTGTCTCGGTGGGAGGGACAGTGCCTGAGCGGGAGCACTGCTGCCTTCTCACTGAGCACAAAGGGAACGTCCTCTCCTGTCTACAGAGAGCAGACCAGTCACGTCTTCTGCCTCTGCTGCTGACACATGGAAGCCTTTTTGTCAGAACTCAGGTCAACAGAGATCAAATTTCCATTATTTTGTAAGGGAGGAAAGTAGGCTCAGAGAAGGACCCTGACTTGCTAGGTGACAGGACTAGAATCCAGACTTTAAATTTTATCCTGCAGGCAATGGGGAGCCATTGAACATTTTTCAGCAGGGGAGTGACATAGCCAGGCTGCTTTCTAGAAGATGACTCTGGGGGTGAGCGGTCACTCAAGGGAGGAATCAAGACAGAGGAGGTGGGGGTGGAGGTGCGGCCCCCCCTTCCTCTCTGGCCGCCCTGTCCTTGCCCTGTCCGCACAGAAGCCCAGGCAGCTCCTCCCTTGGACAGGCCCATGTGGGCCTGAGTGTCTCTCTGGTCACCCCCAGGCTGTGTGGCCTGCGCACCCTGCAGCCCTACGCCGAGAGGATCCCCGTGGTGACCACCGCCGGCATCACCATCAACTTCACCTCGCAGATCTCCCTCACGGGGCCCGGCGTGCAGGTGCTCTACAGCTTGTACAACCAGTCAGACCGTGAGTGTGGGCTGGCTGCGAGCAGGGTGGGCACCCCCAGCCCCACAGCTTCTCCCGGCCCCTTTGCCATCCCTGGAAGCACCAAGAGGCTGGACAAAGGGAGTGTGTGTGTGTGTGTGTGTGTGTGTATTCGCATGTGAACACGTGTGCACCTGTGCACAAACGTATATAGCTTTACGTGTGTCTATATATGCAAGGCAGTCATGTGTTCACTAGGTGTGCACACTCACACACACCCAAGTTTATGCTGCGTGTGTGTGCCTGGACACGGATGTCCATGTGGACCACGTACACAGGTGTGTGTACACGTGGGCATATACCTGTGTAGCACACAGGTGCAGCATCTACAGGTGTTTTCATGATGGCACACGTCCTAATGGTGCCCTCCCTCCCCCAGCCTGCCCTGGAGAGTTCCTCTGCTCTGTGAATGGGCTCTGTGTGCCCACCTGCGACGGAGTCAAGGACTGCCCCAACGGCCTGGATGAGAGAAACTGTGGTGAGCAGCCCGCCCGTCCCCCCCTCCTCTCTCCTCACCTTCTCTGTGCTGAGCTGAGCCCACCCTTTTGAGTAGAGACCCCACCAACAAGTGCAGTTTCCAGCTATCAGCACCCAGGAAGTGGGGATCTCTCTCAGTGCTGAGGTGGCAAGATGGAAGCACCGCATGGGAAAGTGGCCTCCCAGAGCCACCCCATGGAGCAGCGGCAGAGACCAGGCTTCCCGATTCCCCACCAGGCCATCACCCCCAGCCTCTGTCCCAGCCTTCCATCCAAGAAGGAACCTAGCGGATGAGAGGAGGGACAGGAAGGAGGAGGCTGTCAAGCAGAGGCAGACAGGCCCCGGAGGCCAAGGAGCAAATCCTCTATCTCCCTCCCTTGAATGGGTCCTTACCTCTCCACTTCAGGGTTCAGACTGGAGTTGCCAATTCTTACTGGAGTTGTGCTCACCGCTGCCCAGCCCTGCAGAAGGGGCTCAGGGGAGTCCCCAAGCCAGGGCATTCTTGGAATAATACCTCTTTCTCTGAATCCTGGTCTCTGGCCCCCAGGGTCACTAGCCTGTCCTGATTTGATCTCCCCAGACCTACCCCTGTCCCGTCACATCAACGCTTTTAGTATGTGGGGAGAGGAGGGAAGGATGTGCCTTCTCCTGGGGTGATCTGCCTGGGTGCTGGGGAAGACGTCTCAATTTGGAACCAGAACATCTGGCTTCAAGTTCTGGCTGAGCCGACCGACTTTGGACAAGTCACTTCATTGCTGTTTCCACCAATGAAATAGAGTATCTCACCAGGCTGCTGCGAAACTCAGGTGTAAAGTAGCTGAGAAAGATTTGTGACTATGACATGCAATACATGTCCTACAGGCATCTGGCATTCCCAGCCTGGTTCCTCTGGCTCCCTCCTACCTGACCCCTCTCTGTGTCCCCACACAGTTTGCAGAGCCACATTCCAGTGCCAAGAGGACAGCACATGCATCTCACTGTCCAGGGTCTGTGATGGGCAGCCTGACTGTCTCAACGGAAGTGACGAAGAGCAGTGCCAGGAAGGTAGGGTGGGGTGTGACCAGGTATCTAGAGGGAAACCAAAGAATGGTCTCAGCCAGACAGCTTGGTCCTCCTGCATGCTTCTTTGGCAAAGGTTTCTGCCCACTTGTCCAAATACTTACCAACTCATCTGCAAGTATGTCAGTATGTCCATATGTCCTTCCATCCATCCATCCATCCATCCATCCATCCATCCATCCATCCATCCATTCTTCTATCCATCCATCCATCCACTGGCCTGTCCAACCATCTATCTTCCTATCCACTAAACTGTCAATCTACCCATTTATTGGTTTACCCAACTACCTGTCTGTGTGTCCATTGTTCTACCCTCCAACCATGCGTCCATTAATGCATGTATGCATGCATCCATCCACTGCTCTAACTACCTATTTGTCCATTGATCTTTATGTCCACGCAGCTATCCATCCTTCTAGATGTTTGTCAGTCTCTCTAGTGGACCATCAATCCTCCTAGCCGTTGGTCTGCCCAGTCTCCTATCTGTGTCCATTGTTTTATCCATCCATCCATCCATCCATCCACCCATCCAACCAACACTTGCAGACTACCCAGGGATAGGCAAGGCCGAGGGAGGAGGTGGGAGTAAAAGACACCAGGGATGCGATCCCAGCCCTTTGGGGATTATCTGTTCGTAAGAAGACATGAGGCTGACTCTGTCTGCCCAAAGCCTCCTGGACACTATGTCCAGTAGCATAGGAAGCCTGAAGGGTGGGGAGGAGATTAGGCAGGAAAAGCTTCCTGGAGGAGGCAGGCTTGGAATTGGGCCTTGAAGAGAGGTAACATTCAAATAGGCGGGAAGAAAGGAGACCAGGCGAAGACCAGGTGTTGGATCAGAAAGTTCTTCACACTGAAGACAGTGAGGAGCAGGTGGGTGGCTTGGTGTGGCCAGGACCTGGAGGAGCGCCAGGCTAAGAGGGAAGCCTTAGTCTAGTGGAAGAGGCTAGCTCTGCTCTTGCGAGCCTAGCCTGAAAGTGGAGGCCCAGTTCTGCCTTCAGGTACACCTGGTGGGGAGGCAGGACCCCAAATCTGAGAGGGGAGACATAGCCTTGCTCTCGACAGAATAGTCTGAGGTGGGTGGGGGAGTAGGAGGTGGGGGGTGGGGAAGGGACATAGCCTGCCTTTAGGAGACACTTAAGGAGCCTCAGGGGACCCTTCATTATGATCAAGAGACCTTTACCAGTCACCTCCTGGCCTCTTCCAGGCTCCATCTTCCCTGGGCCTTGTTTTATAGGCTCCCTTGGGCTCAGGGACCCACCCTCTGTGCCCTGCCCCCACCCCCTCTATCCCAGGGGTGCCCTGTGGGACCTTCACCTTCCAGTGTGAGGACCGCAGCTGTGTGAAGAAGCCCAACCCGCAGTGTGACGGGCGGCCTGACTGCAGGGATGGCTCGGATGAGCAGCGCTGTGGTGAGCCTGCCCTACCTGGCTGCTGGGGGGCTCCAGCAGGGTGGGGTGGGCAGAAGAGCCTGTGCACCCCCCGGGCCCTAGCATGTGGGAGGGAAGGAGGCGGTGCGACCCCGGGAAGCTGGAGAGAAGCTCACCATCTGCTCATGTCTCCCTCTCCTACCTTTGCCCCCTCATCTTGGTCCTGCCTGCCTCTTTCCCGCCCTCTGTCCTGCATGCTTTCCCTTCATGTTTTTTCTTTGCTCTCCCTCTGTCCCTCCCCCTTCTCTGTCTCATCGGCCTCTCTCCCGCCCCTCCGCCTCTGTCCATCCTTGTCCTCTCCCACCTCCCCCAGACTGTGGCCTCCAGGGCCCCTCCGGCCGCATTGTGGGTGGGGCCATGTCCTCGGAGGGCGAGTGGCCATGGCAGGCCAGCCTCCAGGTGCGGGGCCGACACATCTGTGGGGGGGCCCTCATCGCTGACCGCTGGGTGATAACAGCTGCCCACTGCTTCCAGGAGGACAGGTGAGAGGGAGGGCGTGGGGACCGAGACCCTGCGAGATGGGGTAGGGAAGGCCGTGGCAGGGCAGTGCGGTGTCTGAGCGCATCGCAGACCGAGGGAAGGATGGTGAGGAGCCCCCTAAACTGGCTGTTCCCACACTGGGGTTCAGTCCTGGCTCTACCATGAACAACATACTCTGTGACCCTGGACAGGTTGCTCATCCTCTCTGTGCTCTGCGTGTGGTATTTTGTTTTAAGTTGGGTCTGTGATTCATTCATTCATTCATTCATTCATTCACTCGTTCACCCAGTCAGCAATATTTGTTGTGTTCCTGCTATGTGCCAGGGGTTGTGCTAGATACTGGGGGTACAGCAGAGAGCAGAACTGCCCGGCCTGGTCATAGGCCATAACCTCCTCCTCCCAGTGTGCCTCCAAGCGGGGACATCTCACCCAGCCTCACGACATCGTCCCCATCTGCATGGTGGGGAGCTTACAATGCCTCCTTCCACCCCCAGCCCTATGTTCTGTGTCCCCAGACCCTACTCCCAGCATGGCCAGCCCTGGGCTCTTCTCACACCTCCTCTCCTGTCCTGGGTCTACACAGTCCCCAGTCAAAGGCCCGGAGCCGCCAGGGCACCCCCTTCTTATGTCCAGAACCAGACATCAGGTCCTCTCAGTGCTCCAGATGAACCCGCAACCACTGCCCCTCCACGCTGCCACCATCACCCCTGTGACCCTGGCAGCCCCGAGCCCAGCTGCCTTGTGTATTCTCTGCCCGGCTGCCCGGGGCTATTTCTGAGTGTGGTCTGACCACCTCGCTCTGTTTCACTCCATCCCTGGCTCCCCTCTGCCCGCAAGGTAAAGAAAGGCCTGGAGGCTGACCTGGCATCCAGGGGTCTTCAAGGTCTACTCTCTGTTGATTCCTCCACATTCAACTCCCACCCCCTCCTGGTGAGGACTAAGTCTCAGCGGGTTCACAGCAGCCCCGTCCATAAAGTGTGCAGATAAAAAGGAGAAAAATGCTTGCCAGATGCCTGGCGCTATGATCAGTTTTTACATGCGGGCTTATTGCATTCCCTTGGGCCCACAGGAGCAGCAGGTGCTAGTCCCGTTTCCTAGATAAGGAGGCTTAGAGAGGCACACATACCTAGCAATGGATGGAGCTGGGGCAGGAGCCCAGGCAGGCGGGCTCCCGAGCAGACACTGAACACTCCCACTCGCCAGCCACCGGCCTTCCAGTGCAGGGAGGGTATGCGTGTGGGGGACGGTATCCCAGGTGGGGACGCTGGCTATCCCGAGGGTCTGCAATGGGCAAAGCGGCCATTGAACGGCACACCCTCCCCGCCCCCAGCATGGCCTCCCCAGCACTGTGGACGGTGTTCCTGGGCAAGGTGTGGCAGAACTCGCGCTGGCCGGGCGAAGTATCCTTCAAGGTGAGCCGCCTGTTCCTGCACCCGTACCACGAGGAGGACAGCCACGACTACGACGTGGCCCTGCTACAGCTGGACCACCCGGTGGTGCGCTCGCCTGCCGTGCGCCCTGTCTGCCTGCCGGCGCCCTCCCATTTCTTCGAGCCGGGCCTGCACTGCTGGATCACTGGCTGGGGCGCCCTGCGTGAGGGTGGTGAGCAGGCCTGCGGGGAGTGGGGATGGGGGCCGCGGGCCTCCCCCAACATCTAGCCTGGAGGGGATGGGGCTAGGGGCCCCAGAGCTCCAGTCCTGAGGCCTGCTAGTCCTGGGATTATGTTGGGTTGGATTTCACAGAAGAAAACAATCTTTAACTACCCGTGGGTCCCTGCCCTCCTGGCCCTTCCTTACCCTGAAGTGCATTTAAGGAATACTGAAATCATGGAAGGTTATCTTGGGGGATGCGTGTGGGGTGAAGGGGCAGGTCAGGAACCCCACAGCCCGCAGGCAAACTCCAACCCTCTGCTCCTTGGCCAGTAGCGGGTGGAGATTTATGTGTGTGTGGGGGGTGGGGGGGTGGAGGTGGCAGGAGAGACTCTTAATTAAGATTGGATTTTAGAGGGACATGGTTTAATTTAATCCACCCAATAACCTTAGGGGGTGGGTATTATGGCCCCATTTTATGGATTGGATAACGGAGGCTCAGACATTTAGCAGTTGCTCAGTCACATAGCCAGAGAGAGTTGGAGCAGAGACTAGAACCCAGGACTGCCTGACCCCAGAACCCCTGCTGTTCCTGCTACTGCCTCTCAGAAATGGGGATTCTCCCCTTCCTGCCTAAGCTGACCACAGCTGGCCATCCCTAGAGGACACCTCTCAGTTCTGTGAACACAGGCCTGGGCTGGCAGAACCACAGCCATGCCCTGCACCCTTTGTGGTGGTGGTAGCTTTAAAAATGCGTACAGTGGTTTACAATCTGGGAACAGGCAGGACTGTGGAGCTCATGTATAGGTGGGGAAACTGAGGCTCAGATGAAAAGTGACTGACTTGTCCAAAAGGATGACAAGTGAGAAGAGTGGTAAAGCAAGGGTTGGTTCACTCGCTCATTCGTTTGTTCAGACACATTTTTTTTTTAATTGGGGAATTGGGGAGGAGGACCATCCAATTTGTTGTTCTTCAATCTTAGTTGGGAGGGTGCCAGTCACCATCTGGCTGCCTGTCGGCAGCTTGTGGCCTCTCAGCTCAAGGTGCTGTGTTACAATCTTAGTTGCGGGTGGGCGTAGCCACCATCCCATGCAGGAGTGGAACCAGCAGCCTTGTTGTTAAGAGCGCACGCTCTATCCACCGAGCCATCCGGACAGCAGCTCAGCTCAAGGTGCCAAATTCAGTCTTAGTTGTGGGCGGGCATAGCCCACCATCAAACAGGCAGTCTTGTTGTTAGAAGCACGTGCTCTCACCAGCTGAACCATCCTGCCACCTGTTGGCAGCTCAGCAGCAGCTCAGCTCAGGCTGGGAATCGAACCGGCAGCCCTGTTGCTCAGAGCTCACACTCTTAAGCTAACTCTTCACCAACTGAGCTACTCGGCTGGCCTCAACGACACGTTTTGAGCACCTACTATATTCCAGCCATCGAGTTGGGCTAAGGGGACACAAAGATGAGAAGAGAACATTCTTCAGGGAGACAGTGCTAAGAGCTGACCTGGATGGGCAGGTACAGGCAGCCTAGAGGAGGCACCTACATAGGTGGAGTCAGGGAGGCTTCCAGGGGGAGGGGCAGGCTAAGCTGAGGCTTGGAAGACGAGTTGGCAGTGTCCTGAAGAAAGGGGAAAGGCATTCCCATTAATGGACAAGTGGCAACCCAGGGAGCCCTGAGAACACCCAGCACCGGAGGCAAGCCCAGGGCAGGTGGGTCTGGGTGATGACGGGCAGGAAAGACGGGCGGGCCTCTTGGCCCACGGTAAGGGTCGTGAGCCAGGGCTTCTCCTCGGACCTGTGCTTTAGAACCACCTGAGGGCGTTGAGAAAAACACCGCAGCCCTGGCCCCATCCCAGGCAAACAGACCATCTCCAGGTGGGACCAGGCACAGTGCATATTGAAGCTCCCCTGGGGTTCTATCCTCAGCCCCTGCAGGGAAACGCTGGGCTGGACAGTGGAGAGATGCTGACGAGTTTTAGAGGGACACTGAGGGGTCAGATGTATGCTCTGGAAAATTCCCCGGGGCAGTCACAGAGGGAAAGCTGCCATGAGGCCTCAAGCAGGGGGAAGGGAGGGGAGGTACAGGTACAGACAGGCTTTGGGTGGGACTCTGTCCCATGGACGGCTCACAGGGGAGCCAGAACAGGGGATCTGAGGCAGAGCAGCAGGGGCTGGGCAGGGTAGGAGGTGAAGGGGTCTCCTGAGATTCGAGGGGAGTAGTGGAAGGAAGAGTGGGAGCTCCCGGGCACCTCAGATCTTCTCACCTCTGCCCTCTGCCTTTGACCCCACCGGGCAGGTCCCACCAGCAATGGTCTGCAGAAGGTAGACGTGCAGCTGATCCCGCAGGACCTGTGCAGTGAGGCTTATCACTATCAGGTGACACCCCGTATGCTGTGTGCCGGCTACCACAAGGGCAAGAAGGATGCCTGCCAGGTGACTCCCGTGGGGCTGGGCGACAGGAGGGAGAGGGCGCCGCTCACATCTCCCAGGGCCTGGCCTTCTGCTCACGTTAGCTTGCTGAAGCCCTATGGGCTCCCAGCAAGGTGGGGGGTGGCTGTCCCCACTTTACAGATGATGCAACTGAGGCTCAAAGAGGTTGAGAGACTTGCCCCAGGTGGCAGGCCACCAGTCAGAAGAGACCCATTGAGGGCAGGTCTGAGGCTCCAACCCAGTTCTGCGCCTTGCTCCTTGCCCACCGCAAGGCACTTTGCCCAAGGTGACACAGTAGAAAGGACTGGAAGGAGCAAGCCCACAGAAGAAGGCAGAGGCGGATGGAGCATGGGGACACATCCTCAGTTCCATGACAGCCAGGACCCGCTGGAGGCCAGACCAAGTTGCAGGGGAAGCAGAGTCTTCAAAAGGCGATACCACTTTCTCGCTGTCACTCAGGAAGCCCCCAGCAGTCAGGAGCCTCGCTTGGAAAGAGAGTACCCTCACCCTGATGCAACCCTGTCTCTCCTCTCCCCCTTTCAGGGTGACTCGGGCGGTCCACTGGTGTGCAGGGAGCCCAGCGGCCGCTGGTTCCTGGCGGGGCTGGTCAGCTGGGGCCTGGGCTGCGGCCGGCCCAACTACTTTGGCGTCTACACCCGCATCACTGGTGTGATTGGCTGGATCCAGCAGGTGCTGACCTGAGGAGTTGCCCACCAGCAGAGCTGGGCCCACCTCCCAGACTGAGTGCTCAGGGCAGCCTCCAGGCGGGGGAACAAGTATTCTGGGGCGGGAGGGCCTTTTGGCGGCAGGAGGTGGCATCCCCTCGCCCGGCCTGCTCCCTGGCATCGCCCCGGAGAGGGCACGAGGAGGGAGGACGGCCCTCAGCTGGTGGTCAACTTCCCCGGAGGACGTGGGATGGTCACCAGGCCCAGCTGGTAGACTCATATCCAGACTGTCACCTCCTGGTTCCCTCTCCTCTTTCCCCTTCCTCCTCTGCTGACTTTGGGGGGAAATGGTTCAGCAGCAAAAATGCACTTCCAGGTCCCAGCAGGAGTGTCTGAGCCCCTCACCCTCATCCCCGTGCAGAGCCTGTATGGGCAGCACCCTCTCCAGAGAGAAGATTCCAGCCTGCGAAGCCCCCAGCCTCACTTGAAAGGGGTGGGGGGTGGGGTGCTCAGAGCCCTGGAGATAGCCAAGTGGGCCAGCTGCCACCGTGAGCCAAAGGGTGGGGTGCTCGGGGATGCAGGGTCCTCACCCCCTGGGCCTCCACTGCCCACTCTCACCTGGAGGTGAGCTCAGCTACCCTGTGGAATAAAGCCGTCTGATCCGAAACCCTGTTCTGGGGATTGAATGGGGCCCCGGGCACCAAACCTGGCTCCAGGAGCAGCCCCAGGAAGGCAACGGTTTGGTCACCCTCAGGTCAGAGTGGGGAACGGGGCAAGTGACGGGCTCCTTCTGGAACCCTGGGAGGAAACGGGCTCAGAAAGGCTGAGTCAGCCTCACGATCACACCAGGGGCGAGGAAGGGGCCTGGAGCAGGCCTGTCTCCTGGTTCCCAGTCTACCTCCACCCCCACCAGCATGACACTCCCTTTGAGTTCTTTCTTCAGCAGGCATGTCACAGGTTCCTACTATGTGCCAAGTACTGTGCCAGGGGCACAGACATGCACAGAACTTGGCTCCTGATCTCAGGAAAGGTGGGGATGACTGACGATCAGTGTGAAAGGGCTTTGGGGAAGTCAGGGAAGGCTGCCTGGAGGAGATGAGACTTGAGTTGGGCCTCCAAGGTAGCCAAGGTCATTCTAGGCAGGGGCACAGCATGTGCAAAGGTATAGCGTTCCAAAAGAACATGGAGTATTAGGGAACCGTAAGCTGTTTTTAGTTAAAGAGAGGTTGAGTGGGGGAGGACTAAAGAGGAATTGGAGAAGGAGGGCAAACAGATCAGATGACAAAGAGCTTGGAGTTGAGCTAAGGACTTGACCTCGGTGCCCTGGGGAGCCACGGCAGGCTCTACAGCAGGGGAGTGACACACGAGCAGATTCACATTTTCAAACCACCACCGGCACCAGTGCGGAGGGAGGGAGAGGCAGGGAGGCTGGCGAGGTCACCGGGCAGGGGAGGATGGGGCCTGGACTGCGAAGTGCAGTGGGGATGGACACCAAGTGCCTCAGTGGATGGGGTGGGCTGAGGGAGGAGTCACCCAGGACCACTCCCAGGGACCTGGCCGGTGGAGGACCCACTGCCTGACCCGGGGCACCTGGGGAGGGGAAGGCTGTGGGAAGGTGTCATGAACTTGGGGTGCCTCTAGGAGGGAGGTGTCCAGGAAGCAGGCGGAGCTTGAGAGAGGCTTGGAGGGGTTTCAGAGCCACCATCGATGGAAGGTGACTGAGGAGGTAGGGAGACAGAGACACCGCAGACAGGCCAAGTGGGAGGCTGGAGGGGAACTGCGAGGGGTGGAGTCTTAGCACCCAAAGCCATGGCCTGCGTGGGGAGAGCCATGGGGCCAGGCCCTGAGTCACTGGTGCCTTCTGGGTGCAGCGGAAGAGGTGACGAAGAGGGGAGTCAAGTGCAGACAAGCCTTTCTTGAAGCCTAGCTGGGAGGGAAGGACAGGGAAGCCTCGGGGACTTAGACTTGAGGGGGTTTTAAAGACAGGGAGCTGCTACATGTCCACGAGTGGATGCGGCAGCTTCTGCAGGAGGGGGCGGAGCCAGGGGGCACAGTCACCTTCCAGGTCCTATCTGTGGGAGGGAGCAGGTGGCAGGTAGAGCGGACACTATGGGTGGACTCCTTTGGGGTGGGGGTGGGATTTCAAGCATTCCTACCCCAACAGGCTCTTAGGGTTCTCAGAGGGGCAGGCAGTACAGTGCGTTGGGTGCTTTGCTAAAACACACATCTTGGGCCTCCCTCCAGTCTTAGTCAGAATTGGGGGTGGTGGTGGGTAATTTTTAACAAATCTCCTGGGGACTCTTTTGCAAGCAAAGTTGGACACTAAAAGTGAGGTCAGCTTCAGCAAGCAGAGAGACCCTAGGGGAAGTGGTGAGGCCCCCAGACTGCTGAGTGGTGGAGCCTCACCTGGCCCTGGGGAGGGCCTCTGCCTATGGGATCACTCACTGCTTTGCAGGGATGTCCCCCAGCAGCACTAAGCTAAGCAAGGCGGACAGTTAGCAGGACTAGGGAGGGGAAGGAACTGGCCAGGAGGGAGAAAAGGTGGAGTGGGTACCTTGGGTGTTCATATTGCCTGGGACTTGGGGCAGCGGGCGGAACAATAGGGAGGGGTGGAGGTGACCAAGAGGGGTCATCGCAGAAAGCAGAGGCGTCCTGGGGGCTTAGGATGGAGCAGAGTGGCCTCGGGCAGCACAGAGTGAACCCAGCAAGCGGAGTACCGTCTGAACAGTGGGCTGAGGCTGGGAAGCGGGAGGGCAGAGAACCAGGCCTGGGAGGACCTGGTCTCCTGAAGCCCAACTCCCTACCCCCTCAGTGCCCCCAGCTGGCAGAGGGCTGCCTGGAGGCAGGAAGAGGCCTGCATGACTCTAAGGGCTGGGCCTTGGAAGTCATCTGGCCCAACCCTTCACTTGATAGAGGAAACTGGGGCCCAGAGAGGGGTAGGCACCTGCCAAACTTCCCCCAGCAAGGCAAACTTGGTGTCTTCAGTGTCTGGCCACTGGGCGGAGGTCCAGCCACGACCCCCCTCTCCCTACACACACAGGAGTGACCACAGGACGGGGTCCCTGGGCTTTAGGAAAAAGCCGCATTACCTCTGGGTCACCCCCCCGCCCCTCGAGTTTAGCCCCTATCCTCAAACGTGGCTCAGAGAGAGGGAGGGAGCCAGGCCGGCTGTTTCTTCAGGTTTTATTACACGGTGGGGTCATGGGGTCAGGCACAGCTGAGCAGGACCCAGCCAGGAAGTCATAAACGCAGGAGGGCCCCTGGGCAAAGGAACAGAGTCCCTCTCTCCCTCATCACCAGTTCCTGAGTAGCCCCACTGCCCCTGCTGGGCCACTGCCCGCCTCCTCCTGGCCAGGGCACTCTGCCCCCAGCAGTACAGACAGGGTGGGAGCAGTCCAGGCAAAGGCCCAGTCCCCCACCCCTCTTCCGACAGGGCCACCTCACCCGCTTCCTCCCCCATCTATACCAGAATCTCTTCTGGGTCTAAGCAGGTCCTTCCCCCTTGAGGAAAGGGTGAAGGGGGTGGCACCCAGGGTCTGGGGCTTACGCTCCTCGAGGGAGGGCTTTCTGAGACCCTGCTCTCTTAGATGGAACCTCACAACAACCCTGTGAGGTAGGTGACAGGGAAGAGTGAACCCATGTGACACTCGGGGACGAAGGCTCAAGGGGGGGATGTGACTGGGCCAGGAAGGATTGTATCCGCCATGCAACTAGGGGTCTCGGGGGAGGGGACATAGGGGCCTGGAAGACAAAGCTGGACAGCGCCACACTTGGGCCACAGGCAGGTGGCTCTGCCCAGGGGTCCCAGGGCCCACCCCAGAGGCCGGGGTAAGTCACAGCCCCGCAGGTGTAGACAGAGGTGGCACTGGGACGAGCGCTTCCTCCACCTCGAGCTGGGGGCCCACCCCGTGGTACAAAAATAAAGGACTTCAGATCGGAACCCCAAGTCCCTGGAGGTGATCTGGGACCTCACATCCGGGTGCCTCTGGCTTGTAACAGCTAGAAAATAAGAGGGGAAGAGGAAGGGGGATGGGATGGGGTGGTCAAAACACCGGGAGGGGGATGAGGGGGTGGGGCCAGTGAGGCGCCAGGTGAGGGCAGAGAGGAGATTGAAATGGAGGAAGGGAAGGGTGGGGGAGACAGGGAGAGAGAAAGAGGTAGGTGAGTCACAGGGTCCCTTCTGGGAGGAGGGAGGGGAGCTGAGGCCCAGACCAGGTGGATTCAGAGCCCAGGAGGGGGAGCAGGCAGGGGACCCAGCTGCCTGTCACAGAGCCCCAGGCCCCATCCTGGGCTGGGTGGTGGCTGCCTACTGGGCCAGATTCTGCCAAGACTCTGGCTGGGGGCAGGGGTGGGGGTCAAGGCCGAGAGAGGCAGGTCAGAGACAGCAGCTCTCTGCTCCCATTTTAGAGGCAACTAACATTTTAGAAAGGGATAGTGACTTGCCCAAGGTCACACAGCACAGACAAAATGGAGCGGGTTGCAGGCACCAGGCCAGGGCTTTTTCTGCCACCGGCTCCGGCGGACGCCGTGTAGGCCAAGGGAATCCAAGTGTGGCCTGTCCTTCCCACCCCCGCAGAAACAAGGATCCCAGCGCCTGCTGTGAGGCTGTAATACAGGCACTCCTGTGTGCAGGGGCGAGGCCAAGGCACGTGGCTCCGTTCCCTCCTTTCCCTTCCCTCCTTCCCAGCCTGGCTCTGGTGCTGATGGGCGGGTGGGCGTTTCCGCCCCCTAACTTTCTTCTCCTCTCAGAGCCTCACACCCAAGGCCAAGATGGGCCGAGAAACTGGTGAGGGGAGAAAACAGCTGAACGTTTGGCCCAAGTCCAAGGAACAGGAGCTGAGCACCCTCCTGGCTTCTGCCCCTCCCTCCAGCTCTGCCAAGCTACAAACCAGGGATGGCAGCTCTGGGGGCGGGCGAGGGGCCGAGGGCAGGCCCTCACTGCGAGCGCAGCCTCAGGTCTGAGGGAGTGCAGACAGGAACCTGCAAGGAGGAAACGTGAGGAGGCGGCGAGGAGGCGAGGCGCTGGGGCGGGCTGGCCAGGCCTCAGAGGTGCCCGGGGGGGTCGGCGGGCCCAGAGGAGGTGCAGCGGCACCCCTCCTCCCTAGGCCGGGAGGCAGGAGCTGCCAGAAGGGGTGCAGGAGGCGGCAGGCAGGATGCTCTGAGATGCAGGGCCGGGGCGCCCAGGTGGAGGGCGCAGGAGGCTGGGACCAGGGCGGCCCCGGGATGGAGGTGTGAGCAGGCAGAGAGAAAGCCCGGACAGGGGCAGAGAGGGAAGAGGCAGGGTGCAGATGAGATCCAGGAGGAAGAAGAGGTGCATGAAGATGAGGCAGGACCTCCAGCGGGAAGCGGAGGAGGAGCAGGCGGTGGTGGGAGGGAGAAAAGGTTAGCGGGATCCTGAGATGACTGGGCTGCAAAGAGAAAGTGAGAGAAGGGATGGTTATGCAGGTGAGGCGCCAGGCGGGCGGCTGAGCTGACCCTGGTGGCCCGCCCCCCAGCGGCCCCCGGCCCCCCAGGTGCTGCGGCTGGCTCCGGCAGGGAGCTGCGGGCGGGCGGGAGGCTCCGGCTTGTATTAGCAATCAGTCTCCTTGGGGGTTGGCTGCACCTTTCTCCTGTGCATCTGCCTCCACCTGCACCTGTTCCACCTCCACCTCCTCCTCCTCCAGCTGCCGCTCCTCCTCCAGCTGCTCCTCCGTGCTCTGTGGACCAGCCGGCGGACCCAGGGAAGAAAGAGTGGAGAGCTAACGCGGGGGCCTGCGGGCGGCTGTCCCCATGGGCCCCAGCTCATGGCGGGCGGGTGGGCTAGATGAAGGGGGGCCTAGAAGAGGGGAGGGCTACAGCCAAAGAAGCTGGGGCCTCTCGTCCAGTGTCCTGGGAAGCCTGGGAAGGGCCTGAAGAAACCCGCAGGATGGCCCTGCTGGGGTGCTCACGGGTCAGTCTGGCTACTGCTGCACGGGGCAGGCCGGGTGACGGGTGGAAGAGGACCAGGGTGGGTACATGGCTGGGGCCCTTGAGGGGCACCTGGGAAGGCCCCCTGTTAGGAGGGATAATGAGAGGGCCCCATTTTAGGAGGTCAGGGAAGGCCCAGGGAAGATGGCTCTCAGATCTGGGGTGCCAGCAACAGGCTCTGACATGCCAGGTCCCGAGGCTTTGGCCCAGAGAGGCAGAAGCAGCAGGCTCACTCTCCACCCTAACGAGGCAGTGCCAGCCACTGGCCCTGACGGGGGTGGGTGGGCAGGGGAAGTCACAGGACAGGGAGGCAGACAGACAGACAGGAAGCCGGAGTTTATAGATTTCCAACGCACAGGGACAGGCCCCAGAAGGAACGGTCTCCCTTCTTCCCAGCTGGCTTGCTGCCTGTTCCGCTGGCCCTAGCGAAGGCCCTTGAGGCGTCCAAACAGCTCTGGGTCCAGGGTGGACCTCCACTCAGGCCCCTCCCCACTGCCAGCTGATGCTGCCTCACAGGCCAGCGTGGAAACACAGGGCTGGACCCCACGGGGTTCCGGAGCCCTCTCCTGCAGAGTGCTGGAGAAGGGGGCCCGACAATGGGGCCAGATTAACAAATCTGACTTCCCCGCCCCCGCCCAGGCCCGCTGGGGACATCTACCCGCCCCTGGGAATAAACTGGCCATCTGGATCCCAGAAGTTCCAAGCCCGAGAGAACATGGCCCACCCTGCTCACTTCTCAGAGAACACAACGAAAGTGCTGAGGGGACGGGACTTGTCCAGGGTCACACAGCGCATGGCACACCACGCCCAGACTCCTAGTCCAGGGCACTCCCCCTCGTGCCACGCTGCTCCGTGGCCACCACGTGACTACCATTCAAGTGGCATCTAAGTCGGTGTTGCCGTACCCTCGGGGTGGTCCCATCTCACCGCTCCCCCAGCCTGGGCCTGGGTAACTGGCATGAGCAGACAGGACCATGGGTGGCATGGGATGGATGGCATTGGCTGTGACCAGGGATTATGCGTGTGCAGCAGGAGGGAGAGAGAAGCAGCAGGGATGGCTAGGCAGAGGGCAGGAGGAAAGGGAGGAAAAGGGGGCAGGCTGAGGTTGGGGGGCTCACCTTGGTTTTGCGGCTCGAGTCGGAGCTCAGCCCGTGTGGGGAGCTGTGGAGTTCCTTAGACACCACACACAGGAACTCTGCCTGGTCCTCGTTGCCGTAGTTGTAGGAGGAGCCAATATTCACCAGCTGGAGGGGAGGCGCACGGGGAGAAAGATGATAGGTCGGGGTGGGGGGACAGTGGAGAGGGACGAAGTGGCCATCAGCATTTGTCAAGATACCAACCTGTGTCCCCATCTGGCTGTTCTGCTCCGGCCCATCCCTGGGTTTCCAGAGGATACCACGGAGCTGAAAGTCAGTCTCCCCCACTTCCCCTACCGACACCTCTGGTGTGTTTCCAGAGCAGCTTCCACACCTGGCTCGGCTGGGCCTGGGCCCTGCAGGAAGGCGGCAGTATCGGTGCTGCCCCTCGTACCCCCACCCCCAGCCCAGATCTAACAGGTCACTTCCTAAAAGCAGGAGGCCTGTAATGGGCAGGCTGTCGCCTTCTGTCCCAGAAGTGGCTGAAGCAGCCCTAGAACCAGACTGGCAGGGTGGAGCCCCATAGAATATTCTGTTCACTCTTGGAAGCAGAGGTAGGACCGGTCACCCTCCTCAGGCCAGGGGGCAAGTGACCAGTGACTCCTGACCTACTGGCTCGGCCTCTGAGAATCCATGCAATTGCCAGACTCTGGTAGGCTCTCAAGGGTGGCCCCACCTATGTTCTGGGGTCCCTAGAATAACCACACCCATAGGACCCCCCTCCGGCTGATAAAGACCCTGCACATGGTAAGTTTCACTCAGCTCTCAGGGACCCTCATGCAGCAGCAGAGACAAAAACCTCAGCCACCATGCCATACGAGGCTTGGAGAGGTGGTGACCTGTTGGAAGTCCCAGAGCCAGGAAGACTGGGACAGGAGTTAGAACCCGGGACCCCCAGGCCTCTCCGGGTCTTACAGACGTAAATGCTTCTAATTGCATGATGTCAGCTCAGTCCTGCCCTGGACTAGGGACTTTATCAGTGATCCTTCTAATCTTCCTGACAGTCTTGCATCAGATAAGGAAACCGAGGCCCACAGCGGAGACATGACTTGCTCAGGGTCACATGACACGTCACTGTGGGGCCTAGATATGAATCAGGCCTCTGGCTCCTTTCTCCACACTGCCCAGGCCACCCGAGGGAGCCTGGCCTTCTCCCTTCTTCAACCTCCATGTGCAGGGGAGCATGGGTGGGTGGGTATGGGCAGAGGCCTCGCCAAGCCTTTCTCCTTCTCTAAGGGCAAATCTGACCTCAGGTTAACTCGCTGGCTCTGCTCCTCTGGAAACCTGAGACAGGTGAGACACCAGCTGTATTACTAGGGCAACGGCACTTACAATAAAAATTCCTCCTGATGGGTAACCTGCATCTAGACTGGGAGGAACTAGAGGTCACTACCAAGTCCTCAGGGGAAGTCCCTGCTCTGGGCTTCCCTGAATGTGGCAATGTCTGTAGCTGGACATGTCCCTCGCAGGGACCCTGGAATCTGTGCCTGTGGAATTGTTCCAGGTGTTGACCCAAGGTGGACGCCACTCACCTATGTGAATCTCGACTCCTTGCACCTGAGCGAACGGTCACTTGGGGGCCAGAGACTNTGGCAATGTCTGTAGCTGGACATGTCCCTCGCAGGGACCCTGGAATCTGTGCCTGTGGAATTGTTCCAGGTGTTGACCTAAGGTGGACGCCACTCACCTATGTGTATCTCGACTCCTTGCACCTGAGCGAACGGTCACTTGGGGGCCAGAGACTCGCTCGTACCACCATGTAGACTGCCACTCGGGTACTGTGAGGACACCCACCGAGAAGGATGCCCAAGGCTGCCCTGCGGCAAACGGGGCTTCTATCCTCTCTCCATTTTGGTCAGTCTGCTGCCAAGTGTGGCCTTTCCTAACCCTATTTAGTTTGACTTAAGAAGACCCCCTGGGTGGGGGCTGCAGGGAGGAAGGGGCCTGCTTTGCCCGGAGACTGCACGGTCCCAGGTGTGGCCCGCAGGCCCCCAGCCCACCTGCTCGAAGCGCCAGCCGTCAGACATGGTGGAGACCATCTGGGTGAGCTCCTCCTCTTGGCACTGCAGCACACGGTACACATGCTTGGGCGGGACCTGCGGGCAGAGGGGCGCTATGGAGGGCACCTGTGGGAGTGACGGGCACCCCGGCAGGGGGATGAGCACCTGCCTCTCCCCCCAGGCCACATGTCCTTAGAAAAAGAGAAGGAAGGGAGCGGGCAGGGCGGGAAGACGGGAGCCGTGTTTTGAGACGGGAACTAGGTGCCGAGCACTTGACATTCGTGATCTCACTTAATCTTTCCAGACACTCTATGAGTTATGGGATTTTCGTGGAGGCTCAGAGGGGGTCAGTTACTTGCCCAAGGTCACCCAGCTAAAGGGTGGCAGAGCCAGAACTGAAACACAGGTGACATAAGAGAGGCGGGAGAGGCTTGGGGGACATTCTGGGTCACTCATTGAGGCAGGCCCTCCAGGAGACACAGAGCCTCCCCGCTTCAATCTGGGGCTAGGAGATGGTGCCTCACTCCCTGTCCCTCCCCCAACATGTCTCCCGAACGAACGGTAAGCTGAGAATCATTTCAGCTCCTCCAGCAGGCTGATCACTGAGGCCCAGGGTCCAAGCTTAGAAATGCCAGCTCCAGCAACTTGTGCTGTGCCCACCAGGGGACTGCCTGATCCCACAAAAGGGACAATTTACTAACCCCCCCACTGCCCCCTGCAAGGCCCCCTAAACCTCCACACTGACCCCATTTTTCCTGTGAGGAAGGGAAGGGTGGGCCGTTCTCAGCACCTCTGTACTCCGCAAGGTTACAAGATCCAGAGAGGGGTGTGCTTGGCCCAAGGTCACACACTGAACAGATCCAAGGTGGGGATAGAACCAGCGTCCATCTCCCAGTCTGGGGCTTTGCTGGGCAGTCTGGGTGCCGGACAACCACCCCTCCTCTTATAGGATAGCTCAGCCTCCCCAAGGGAAACCCTGTTCTGCTTCTGCCAACCTTTCTCCCGCCTCCCGCTCTCCCTGCCCACCTCCCTCTCCCCACCACCCCCTGCGCTGGCCACAGGTGCTGCCCTGCTGCTCCCCTGCTCCCTGACCTGCGTAACCGTGTAGTCCTTCTCCTCCATCCGGTCTTTGATGATGCGGATCAGCGGGCCAATGTTGTAGAACTCCGCTTCTTCCAGGACCCCTGGCACAGACAGAGCCACCCCCAGGTCACTCCTACTGCCCCCATGCCTTGCTCTCCCGTTGTCCCCTCTACCTCCAAACCCACCTTCCTGCTCCAGTCACACAAGGGTGACGGGCATCTCTGAGCTCAGGGGTCAAGCAAAAGGGAATATTTCCTTCCTTGGGTCCCACACGCCTCGTGGAAGGGGCGAGATGCTGCCACTCAGCTGCCCCACATTCTACTGTGCTGAGTATGGTGACCGAGGGGCACCTGCCAGTCCCCTCATCGGGGGGCTGCTCTAGGGCTCACTGGGACTGGGCCCTAGGACGCCACAATGAGAAGGGCCTGGCTCACCCCCTATGTCATGCTCCCATTTGTGAAGCGCATGCCAAGTGCCAGGCGCTGTGCTAGGTGTTTTCCATTCTTTATTGCAGTTAATTTTCAGAACTAGAAGTCGGTACTTTATTGCCCCCACTGAACAAATGGGGAAACTGAGATCCAGAAAGAGAAGGAGTTTGTCCAGGGCCCTGCAGCCAGCAAGCGGTAGAGCCTGGGATTCAAACTCAAGGTCCTGACTTCACGGCCCACTGGAAATGCATACTCTTTGTTCATGAGCATATTCCCGACTCCCCCACTTTACAGTTTGCAAAACCCCTCCTGTGCCCATCACAAGCCCTGGGGACATGCGGGAAACACGCATTATCATCCTCATCCCGTTAAGGGAACTGAATCTTAGAGACTAAGCGAGTCACATCTCCAGTGAAGCAGAATGACCCAGGCCTTGGGACTCCCCTAAGCTCCTTCAGGGCAAGGACCCTTCATTTCCATGGTTGGCCTCTGGGCTCCTTGGAGACAGGGCCCATGTGTGATCTACCCTGTTGTCCCTGGTGCCCACACAGCGCCTAACACAAAATAGGCAGTCAGGAGCGTTGCTGCCTGAGTGTCCCTCGTGGAGCCCTGCAGATGACAAACAACTAACATTGCGTCACTGCTCCAATGCCAGGTACTGCGCTAAGTGACGCATGTGTATGAGCTCCGTTATCCACACTGCAAGGTGGGTGCTCTTGGAACCCCGTTTCACAGATGCAGGCATGAAGGCACAGAGGAATGAGTGACTTTCCTGGTGTCACACAGCTAGTACGTCTCCTCCCAGGTCCCCCAGCCCCCTGGATGGGGGCCCTAGCCCTGTCAGAAGGTGCCGAGAGCGACAGGCATGGAGAAACCCAGAACCTGTAAACGGGTATTGGCTGTGATGCAACTGGAGTGTTTGCCTCCCCTCCCCAAGGGACCTGCTCTGGGCCCGGCCCACACCCATGGTACCTGTGCCCCCAGAAGCTGTGGGCCCTGCTGAGCCAGCGCCTATGGTGGGCTCTGATTTTGAAGTCCTATTCCACTGGGGACCCACTAGGGGGACTGTGGGACCCAGTAAAGAGGGATGAGCCGTGCTAGACACCTACAGGGCACAAGCACCGGGACTTAAGACATTCGTTGTCGCAACATATGCCTTCCCCAGTGTAGCTCACCAGTCCCACTTTACGCACATGAGGAGACTCAGAAAGGAAAAGTACTGTATTCAAGCGGGCCTGGCCAGGTCAGCTGACCCAGAGCCACACCCTGTGCCCCAAGGAAGAGTTGACTTGGCACTGACTGTAGTCCTTGCCCCGGCTGGGGCTCTGCCAAGAGGCCATTCCCCCAAGCATGGCTTCCCCCCATTTGTTGGGCCCAGAAGTGGGCAGCTGCAGGGCCTCGGCCACCCAGGCCTGGGGGAGTGGAAACCCTGTCTGGGGAACAGGCTCCTTCCTTCCACACCTCCCCCCACAACCAGTGCTGTCCTGCAGAGGCTGCTGGATTTTGGGAAGAGCCACCCGTGCCACCCACCTGGCTGGTTGCATCTGAGATACGGGATAACCCTGCCCTGCTTCACCCCATTCACACCTGGCTTCCAGTCGCCCTGGCTCCCGCTAACCTCGGCCGTGTCACCTCCGCCACCTCCCCAACAGCACCCAGTGAAAGCTCGGCCCAGTCAGCCTGGCCGAGCCCCCAGGCTCAGCCTGGGCAGAGGCTCTGGAATGCAGCCCTGTCAGAGATGAGAAGAGGCAGGGAACACGGGAGAAAGCAGATGTCCCTCCTGGCTGGGAGAAACGGCTGTCGGCCTCCACACCAAGCCTGGCAGGCTGCAGGGCCCTGGCAGGAGGCAGGGCGAGGATGCGGGCCCAGCCAGCTCCCTGGACCAACTCACCCTCCTCCGCCATGTCCTTGTCCAGCACCAGCTTGCCATGCCGCAGGAAGTTCAGGATGGGCCCGAAGTAGGTGGGGTCGCGGTCGATGAGGTAGGCCCCGGTCTCGTCCTGCGGAGGCGAGGGGAACAGGCTGTGAGAGGAGAGGAGTGGGGCCTCGCCCCTGCCCACCCCTCACGTCAGGCCAGGTGAATGACTGAAGGGGGGAGGGGGGATAGAGTCTGTTCTTCCCTAAAATGAAGTGGCATGATGGAGCAAACGGGCTTTGGGGTCAGATACACCTAGGTTCAAGTTCCGCCTCTGTCTTCCTGACTGTAAACTTAGGCCGGTGATTTGACCCGTCCTGAGCCTCCCTCCTCTCCCCTATAACTAGGAGTCACTGTGAGCACCCAGAGAGGTCTCAGTGACACCTGACGCAAAGTAGGGCTCAGTGATTGCCCCTCTTAGAGGCTGTTCCCTTGAAGCCAGACCTACACTGTCTCCACCAGATCCCCAGTCATTTTGGGGGTTTGCAGGTTGCCAAAGGAGCTACTCTCCCTGGACACCCTCAGCCTGCAGGGCGGCAGGGCAGGCAGCAGCACGACTCTAGAGAGAAAACGGAGCATCAAGAGATGAGGGGACTTGCCCAAGGTCACGGCATCAGATGGTCAGGGGATGGGAGGAAGGGGGCCTTAGGAGTCATCTCCAGACCAGACTCCTCTAGTTCCAGACAGGAGGCCGAGTCTGGAACAGGGAAGAGTCGGACCTCAGGTCATGCGGGCCGTTTACAGCAGAGCCGGGATGGGACCCCAGGCCTGGTGCCTGCACGGCCAGCACTCCTCCCAGATGAAGCCCAGCTCAGAAGGCACCCCGGGCCACCTACACCCCAAAAGGCAGGGAGAAGCAGCCTCAGCCACCCCTTCCCCAGTGCAGGAGTCCCGTTTGGGAAGGGCTGAAGGTCCTACGAGTCTGTCTGTCCCCACAGTCCCAAAGTAAGGGGGAGAGTCCGATCTGACCTACCAGCCTCCTCCCCTAGGGTGGGAGCCCAGGGCAGCGCTCAGAAGCTCCAAATGGCCGCGGCCTGGCGTTGTCCCGTTGCCAAGGCAATGGACACATTCCTCACTCTCAGATCCACTTCCTCCTCCCCTCCTCCAGCCAGTTCTTCCCGCCTCCGGCTCTTTGTAAATAAAACTAACTGGCTTCCCAGTCCGGCGGGCGGGCCAGGCCGAACAGCCCCGATTCCAGAGAACTGAAGACCACCCCCCGCGCCCCCCCCCAGGCCGCCCACCCCGCGGGCCTCACCCGGTCGGACTGCAGCTCTTCCCCCTGGCACAGGCGGCTGAGGAAGGACTTCTGCTCCCGGCACAGCGTTTGCCGGGTGGTCAGGAACACCGTGCCCCCCACGTTGAGCCGTACCCACTTGCCCCAGCTGCCCGCAGCGCGGCCGCCCGCCCCCGCCGGCGGCGCTCCCTCGCCGGCCTCCATCCTCATAGCTGGCCCCGGCGTCTGCATCCTCTGGGCTCCCGGCGGCTGGAGGCGGGCAGGTACCGTGCGCGGGGCATGCCGGGAGCTGTAGTCTGCGCCGCCCCGGCTGGGGTGACCCGGGCGAGGGTCCCCGGATGCCATCAATCTGCCTTCCCCAGCCCCGCCTTACTTTACCCTTCCTGGGAGGCCCACAGACCGGGGTCTCTTGAGGAAGCGCGTGGGCCAAATGACTGTGTGTTTGGGGAAGGTCAAGTTCCAGTCACTAGGAAAATTGTGACTGATACCCCAAATCAGCAATCCTCTCATTTGTTCTCCACATTATTAATTTCCCTTTGTCCAGGCTGGATTTTCAAACAGTTGATAAATATGAAAAGAAACGTTTCCCTTCCAGAATTCTATAGCGTTTATCTGTATCTGTTTTCTAATATTCTGTCATGCTGCTCTTTGTGTGTGTGTGTGGGGGGGGGGTTGAAGGAAGAGGGGCTGGGTTCTTTCCCTACATCAGTTCTCTGAGGGCAACATAGTTGGGCTTAAAGTTGACTGAGCACCCACTGTATTCCAGATGCTTCATGTATCTATCTGTATGAGTCATTGAAGCTCTCGGCAGCTCTGTGAGGCTGCTGTTACTGTACCCATTGTACAGATGAGGGTTCAAGTGAAGTGACCTTCCTGACTCACGCTGGTGAGCAGCAGGCTGGCACAAACTCAGGAGGATTCCAAGTGCGTTTCCACCACCAAGGCCCCCTTTCCTGCGCCCCTCGTGGGCTACCAGTGCTCCTTGGGAAATATTTCTAGGGAGGAAGAGTGGAGAGGGCACTAGATCCAAGTGGTCTGGTTTATCCTGAGCTGGGTTTTCATCCTGACTTTTGTAGGATGAGCTGCGGGGAGACATCTTGGCTTTCCCATCTGTAATTCAGGAGGAGGAGGAGGGATTGGTTGTGTGGGTTCCTTTCTGAGCCAGATAACTTGGAGGTGGGACTGACATAGTGGGTACTGCAGGACGGGGGAGGAAGGCGGCTTCTCATGTCAGAAGGGGAAACTGTCCTCCTTAATTCCCTCTCCTCCATGTTTCATTCCTGGTCCTGGATTAAGGGGGAGGGGTCTGAGGCGCCCCTCATTGATCCCAGGGACACACACACTGGGCAGCTGGGGAAGGTTCCCTGTTACCACCCAGACAAGGCTCTGTTTTCGCCATAAAGCTTTTCCTCTTGGCAAGGATTAGGTCACAGCTGCTAGAGTCCTGTTCCCAAGAACGCACCAGTATGTTCTTGAGCAGCTTCCTCTCTGAGTCTCAGTTTTCTTTCGGAAAATGGGAAATATAGTAGCCCTAGAGCATTGTCGTGAAGACTAAATTATATCCTATCTGGAAAACACCTGGCATAGTCCCTGGCTTTTAGTACATTGACGGAATGGAGTCCAAACTCATCTTGAAAGATCAGCAGCTCTCCTGGCGCTCCGTGAGCCCTCCATCATTGTTAGCTAAAACAACACTAGAGCAAGAAATAGTTTTTTATCCGCTTACGGGTTGCAGGCAGGGAGTGACATGGTCAGATTTACAACTTAGATCACTCTGGGGGCCAAGCCCAGTGCCAGGGCTCATCGTCATGGTATCACAGGAGCTGTCCTGTGGGCTGGGGCCCTGGAGGTGTCAGTGGAGGCTGGGCCCGCATCTTTGGTATCAAAGCGGAGGGGAGGCTTTGACTGAGCCAGTCTCACCAGGCTCCTTCCTCAGAGGCCCCCACCTATCCCTGGACACCTGCGTCCCCTCAGCAAGCACCTAAAATGTTCCCACCTAAAGCAACAACCTCAGTGATGAGGGCCACAGCTAAGAACCATCTGGCAGGACCCAAGGCTCTTAAACAGAGCTGACAGATGCCACCACATCCTTGCCTGTGTCTGGGCTCTGTCTGGAGGAGGCCATGTTTGGGTGACAGAGGATGAGGAGGAGGGGCACACCCACCGCTGAAAAGGACTCTCTACCCCTTCCTCCCACCAGCCAGCATTCAGTGACTATCACTGTTTGTTGAGCGCCAACTATGTGCCAGACACAGAGATGAATATGTCAGGGGTGGTTCCTGGCCTAGAGGGGGCTTCAGTTGGGGGGCTGGGTCCAGGAGGCTTTGACAAAACATGGAGTCCCAGACAGTCCTGTTTGTAAACATGGACTGGCATTCTTCATATTTTTTTGCCATCATCCCCATTTAGAGGATAAAACCAAACATTCCTTAGATGCTAGAGATGATGGTTACCCTGGAGCAGGGCCAGACTTCAAATGCCTGCCCATTACTTTGCCCCTTGCTTTTTAATATGGCTCTGAATGTGACTTGAAAGTGAGCCCGGACAGATGTGGTTAAGGGGCACAGACTCCCAGACAAAGAAGCCAGCCCAGGCTTTGTGGCTTGCTAGCTGGGTGACCTTGGGAAAGTCACTTAACCTCTCTGAACCTCAGCTGCCCCATTTCTAAATTGGGAATGATACTAGCGCCTCGGCTCATGCAGTTGTTATGAGGATTCAGTGAGCTGACACGTGCAGCCACATGAACAGCACTCAGCACACTGCCTGAGCAAAGCCTTGGTGAAGACTGGCTCCCTGAAACCAGTCCTGCTGCCCTCTCTATTGTTGGTTGGACCCAAGATCAATGTCTGAGCCAAAGGCTGCCCTTTAAGATCCATTCCCATCGGCCAGGGATGAACCACCTGAACCTATCCTTTCGGCTGGGGTTGGAGGGAGAGGCAGAGAGAAAGATCACACATGACCCAGCCTCCAGGGCAGAGGGGCTGCCGTTTCCTCACCCTAAACCCCCGAGACCTAAAGTGACCTGGGAGTCTTTCTACTACCAGACAGGGTTAAAGGAACATAAAATACATCCCAGAGTTCACGCCTGAGCACATTAACTATTTTGACCCTCTTGTCTTAGCAGCAGCCCCCATATCTGAGCAGTTCAGTTCACATCTGCTGTCAGTTCCATGACTGAGATGTCATCTCACCCCTGCTGGGTGTTTTGGATTCAGTCTTCTTTCTTCCCAAGTTTGGAATGTCAGAACATTCTCAATAGTGTTGACTTTTTTTTTTTTTTGATTGTTGTTCTTGACATCAAATCCAATCCTGTCACCGCCTTAGTCATCCGTTCTGCCTCTTACCTTGTAGAGCGGGTTGTTGGTTCTGGAGCAGCACCTTTTCAGGTCACCCGGGGAGAGAAATAGACATATCCGGTCAAAGAGAGTGTTCTGACCAGCCAGAAATATTCCAGAGGCCTGGGGTGCAGTGTTTGGATCTCTGTGGCACGGCTCCCTGACTGTGAGACATCTGGCTAGTTACATAACCTCTGTTGTTGGGTTGACAGATGCTGCTTCAGCCTGGGTCTGGTCCACCTCAGCCTGAGCCCTGCTCTCTTTAACCAGGGGGCGGGGGCTCAGTGGGTTCCCAGGCCCGTCTTGGGGAGCCTCCTGCACAGCACCCTGGCCCAGTGGTCCGTCTGCTCCTGTCGGTTCCCCTTTCAGAAGCTTAACTCCGGGAGACTGATGTCTTGACAGTCAGCTCTTACCAGCCTCCTCCAGGTTCCCCACTCTTCCCCGCAAACCTTCCTCTGGCTCCTGTGGACGTCATTCCATAGCCTCAGTCAGGAATCCAGTGATCAAGCTTCAACCAAGAATCTAGTGCCCACCCCCCACCCCCCACCCCCGGGCACCTTGGACCCCTGGTCCTGCTGCCAGAAATTTCTGAGCACCTCCGTGGACCTGGCTCTGCGCCAAGCACTTCTGTGGGTGAGCACTTCTTTTAATCTGAACCCAACAGAGAGATGCGACTGTAACCCCCATGTTACAGAGGAGGGACCCTGGGGGTGGTCTGCGTGCTTTCCCTGCCCCCAGATTTTCCTCCTGCTCCTCCACACTCCACCACCTTGGCTCCTCCATGGCCAGCACGGGATGAGGATGGGAAAAGAAAGATTTTTCCTTGCCTGGCACCCATGTCCCCTGGTGGAGCTTTGCTCTGGCCAGAGCAATGATTCAAGTGGGCTTGGTTTTTTTCCTTGGAGGATTGTTTTGAAGGTTCTTTGGAGCCCCCATTGCTAGGAGTGGCTCACACTGCAGCTTCCCTCCTGGCCAAGGCCCCCTCTGGTTGGCTGCCTGGGACACCCCCTCAATGACCACCTCCATTGGGTCTCTCTGCCCACCCTCCTTTCACTGCACCCCGCCCCACAGCCCTCATGCATTAATCCCTTCTGGACAGCACCAAGCCACCTCTCTTCACCCAAGTCCTCAGCTGGTCCCCCGGAAACCACATGCTCCCCACTGACAGGTTCACCCTGCACAGCCACATCTTCTGATTCCACTAACATAAAATTTACCAATGAAGTGGTCCAGAATACACCACTGTGGCATAAAAAATATTTTGAGCTGAAGGCATATGAGAATAGGTTTTTTTTTACCCCTGAATTCCTTTATCACCCTAAAAGCAGATTCCCAGAATTCAAAAGAAAATTGTCAGAAGCCTCCTCTCCCAGAGTCACCAGGAAAGATTGATTCTTATCATTGGGGCCTGGAAGTCGGAACCACACCTAAATAGATACTGTCACAAAACTATCATGTCTCCCATCTATTCTCCTAAGGACCCATTTATTTTTCCTAAAAGTAATTTGTTTTCCCCTAAGTGCCCTTTCCCTCTTCCCTTATTAGGAAGTCATTTATTTTCCTCTAAGTGTTCTTCACCCCACCCTGTCCCTTACCAAGATGGTATATAAGCCCCAAATTCCCTCCTTGAGTCACATTTCTTGGTGAACTCCTGTATCTATGTATGTATGTAAGTACATATGTATGTATGTGAAATGTCAAACCTGGCTTTTCTCTTGCTAATTTCTTTTGTCAGTTTAATTCACAGGCCCCCAAGCACGAACCTGAGAGGACAAGATTTTTTTCTCAGCATCATCTTAAACCGTTTTAAGTGTATATAGTTCAGTGGCATTATGTACATTCACACTGTTGTGATACCATCACCCCCACCCCTTTTCACCTTGAAAAGCTGAAATCTGTACCCGTTACATAATGATTTTCGATTCCCCCCCTCCTGGCTCCCATATCCTTTGGACACGTCCCCATCACTCTTGGAGCACTTCCTTAGTTTCTGGCACAGCAAAAAGACCCAGGCTCACATTATACTTTCCTGGCCCAGCAGCTCCAGTTCCTTTTGATGGATAACGTTATGTAGCCCCAAGATCCGAGCACTAGGGAGGTTCATTGCACTAGGTCCTCTCAGGAAACAGAGCTAGAGCTGATATGCATGCCTGCGTGTGTGTACACACACACGCACGCATGCACGCACTGTATTTATTTCTGTATCTATCTTAGAAATCCTGAGCTCACACTGGTACCTCCCATTCCAACCCAGCACCACAGATTTCTTTCTGGCTTTCTCCCTTTCCATCTTTGTTTTTCCTCTCTCCAACAGGGAGAATGTCAGTTCCCATATCCGCAATGTATTTGAAGTCCTAGTTTCATCACTGGCAACTCATAACACTGTGAAAAAGAAACCAATAACAAGAGTTCAGTATTTGTTTCCAGGGCTTTTGTTGTTTTGTTTTGTCTTTTGACTGAGGATACATAGTTGAAATAGCCCAAATTCCATGTTCAAGTGTTACTTGGGTGGGTGAGAGAAGTTATCCCATCAGTTCTCCTCCTCTGTTCAGCGTGGCTATGTACTGGAAAGACACATCGGTTGGGGCCATTTAGTTCAGGGGCGAACAACCTCTGAAGGTATAACTGTGAAAAAAAAAGTGGTGACTCAAAGCTATTGAGAATTCAAGTACCATGTTCCCCCGCCCCAATAGGTTAATATGTTCCACCCCCCTAATAGGTTAATACGTCAAAAATTTTGATGCTTAAAATTATAAAGCTTCAGTTAACCTGAAAACTTCATTTTCTCCCGCATGACTCATTCGCCATGAGTTAAGGCTAATAAAGCTCTGCTCTGCTTATACAGTTGGGGTTATTCCAGTAGGAGTGACACCTCACTTACATTGTTTTGAGCTTTACCTCATGTGACATCACACCCACCCTGTGCATGGCAGAGCTGAGTTCGCTCCCTTTTTCAGAGGAGACAGCTGAGGCCCCGACTGGAAGGGCCTGGACGGCAGACCTTCTGGGGCCTCGTGTAGAGTTGATTCCATGGTGTGTGGGGTGGGGGCTTCTTCTGGGCCATGATCCCTCGAGGGAATGGCCACATTCCAGTGCAGCTGGTTAGGCAAAGTTGGGAAACTTCCAACTGCCCCTGACACAGAGGGGGTGCTCAGCAAATATTTGTCGAGTGGAGAAAAATTTCATCATCCTCGTTGTTGTAAGTTCCTGCCTGGAACGTAAGGGGCGGGGCTGGGGTAGGTGGGGGTCCGGCATAGGCTGGGCCCCTGTAGCGAGTGGTTAATTATTCTGGGAATTCAGGTTTGCCGAAGGCAGGGCGGAGCTCAGGGCAGCCCTGGCTTATTCCCAGCCAGCTCCTACAAAGTGAAACCCAAGTTCTGAGAATCCTAGAAAGGCAGGAGCCTAACCAAATCCCCTTGCTTAAATCCCACAGCTCAGGGTGTCTCCTCGTGGTTATCTTCTGCGTTGCGTGTGTTTCCAAACCCTGAGTTACACTCCATTCTCCCCTTGATCCTTAAATTTGGAAAACGACCGCAGGCAAGACCCATTGGAGAGAATTCTAATTCGTTAGGCTCCTCTCTTGAACTAGCTGTGTGCCCTTAGGCAAATCACTCAACCTCTCTGAACTTGTTTTCTCTTTTGTAAAATATAGATCATTTCACACAACTCCCTTCTCTCTAGAAATAGGATCCGATGGGCCTGTTTTTCCTCCCTGGCTGGGAAGCTTTTCTAGTGCAGGAACACAGTTTTCATATTTGTTGCTCTCTCCCCCCAGTTTGGGAAGTACAGGAGGCAGTCAACATACTAAATAAGTAAAAGTCCTTTAAAAACTAACAGTAACACTTGACATTTACTCCATGCTGGGCACCAAGCTAAACAGTTTCTATGAATTCTCACTTAATCCCCATATTGCTCAAGGAAGGTGTTAATATTCCCATTTTAAACATGAAGAAACTGAGGCTCAGAGCAGCTCAGCGGTGTGTCCAAGGCCAGGCAGCCTTGCATGGGGTAGTTGAGATGGAAGCCAGGTCGGAACCTCACATATGTTTGTAAACAAACCCCTCTCCTTGAAGAGGCAAGGGCGTTCCTGGGAGTGAAAATGAAGCTTGTCTGAGACCAGCATGAATGGAAGCTTTCTTAGCTGTTTAGTCTCCAAGGAAAGGGGCTCCCTCCACGTTGGGACCCGTCTACATGGTTCCTGATGGCTGTGGTCAATGGTGTTATTCGCTCCTACAGCAGTGGCTCTCAACTGGGGGCGATTTTTGCTGCCCAGAGGAAACTGGATCACGTCTGGAGATGTGTTTGGTTGTCACAGCTGAACAGGTCCACCGGCATCTAGTGGGTAGAGGCGAGGGGTGCTGCAAAACACCCTACGGCGCACAGGACAGTCCATCACCAGGGATTATCTGGCCTAAATGTTGTCATCATGCTGAGATTGAGAAACCCTGAGCTAGAAAGACGGGATCTTGGGTGGTCCTTGTCTGAAGTCCCTCCTTCTGAAGTACGTACAATATTATTCCCCTTTTGCAGACGAGGAGGCTGAGGCTCACCAAGGTTGGGACTCGCTTTAGAACTCTTATTCGGAAAGCTGGGGTTCTGTCCTGTCGGCTGCCCCCACCCCTGTGGGCTTGGGGGACAACTAAGCATCACCAGAGGAAATGTGGTGGGGGTGGTAGGTGAAAAAAGAGTCAATTCAGAGTCAGGAAATCTGCGTCTGGTCCTGGCTCTGTCTTAAATCCATCGAGTGACCTTGGGAGAGTCGCTGTACTGTCCCTCTGTTTTTTTCTCCTTCTAGGATTCCCCCCAATACCAGCTGACACTGGTCCTTTGCTACTGAGAAGGGTCTTGGGGATTTGAAAATGTCGAGGGGTGACCCAGGTTCTGACAGGAAGAATTTGGGGCCTTCTCACATACTTCTGTCCACCTCTGCACAGAGGACAAAGCCAGAGGGAGAAGAAGAGGGCCGCCACCCTCGGGAAGCCTGGGGGATGAGGTTCTCCTTAAGCAGAAAGGATGGACCCCCTGGGTCCCCTCACCCCCCTGGCAGTTCCAGAGTCCAGCATCCAAACGTGGACTCCTAGAGTCTAAAATTAGGTTGTCCTCCAATTTGGCTAAACTTAGCCCTTTTCCAGTACATCCTGATGGGCTGGGACGGGCTTCCGCAGCGTGGTACAGCCTCCTGTTCAGTTTTGAACTCATTTCTGTCTGGCAATGAGATGTCCTGCTTACCCATTGGTGGCTTTGGATACATCATGGCAAGAGTCACCTGAAATAGCCTAGAAGCCAGCAGGGAGACCACCAGCATTACAGGATGGAAGAGGGTTTGCTGGGGGGCATTCTGGTTATAAGAATGCAAGGGCTCTGGGGCCCCAGAACTGCTCAGAGGCAGGGACAGGATCCCCAAGACCCTCAGGCTCCACAGAGCTCCCTTTGCTGGGTGTGCTAGAAACACTGGCGAGGAAACCAAGGCAGCCCCACACTTAGAAGCATTTAGCACTTGGCTATTTTATTTTCTCAATAATAACACAGAAGGGAGGTGGGGCCCAGCTCAGCACCATGTGGGCAGCTCCCCTTCCTCTGTGCCCACCGCCACCTTCTCTCCTGCCTCCACTAGGAGCCCATGAGTCAAGGACTCCTGGCCTCTGGGATGTTGTCCTATGTGCCACCTGAGTGGGAGGAAGAAACGCTCTCCTGGTCAAAGCAGCATCAGAAGAAAAACCTAGGCACAGCTGGTGGCCAGGCGTTGCCTGAGCTTCCTGAGTCACGTCCTGCTCAGCCTCAGCGGGTCTTCCCCCGGCCCTCGGAAATGACATCCTCGGGCTCGGCACGCATGTACCACTCCACCCAGGAGCCGTCATAGACGGCCACGTCAGGCTTGCCGCAGAGGTAGGCCCCCAGTGCCACATGGCAGGATGTGACGCCGGAGCCACATGTGGCCACCAACGGCTGGGACAAGTCCACCTTCTTGTCCTGGAACAGGCGGCGGATCTCCTCGGGGCTCTTCTCCAAGCCCTCCTCGGTCAGGAAGTCCGTGAAGGGGATGTTCACAGTGCCGGGGATGTGGCCAGGTTCGATGCCTGCAGCAGGAGGGGAGGGAACAAACACGAAGGCGGTATGAATGGCCCCTGTGGTACTGACAGCCTCCCACGCAGCCATGGTGCCAAACCCCTGATATGTACTAACTCATGTGGTCCTCACAACCGGAAGCCCACGCATGATGTACAGGCGTTCCCATTTTACAAACGGAGATGCTGAAGCACAGTACTGCCCAAGGCCGTGCATCTAGCAAATCGCTGGATGGAACCGGAACCCAAGACTCAGAGCCCACCGGAGCACACTCTGCCCCTGGTTTCCTGATAACTGACTATGCGTCCTGGGGCAACAAATAAACAAAACTGGGGACAGGTAGCACTTGCAGTCAAGGAGTTTGGATCTGGCAAGGCAGACAATCACTGAATAATTACAAGGATGATGAGTGTCGCCAAAAGGCCCTACTGCGTGGGGCACATCACAAAAGATGATAATAGCTGGCATTTTGAGTGCTGACTTTGAAAGGTGAGTAGGATTCGGCCTGGTAGAAGGGTCTGGGCCATTGAGGCTGACAGCATCCCAGGCAGAGGGGCTCCTAGAGGACTGGGAATAAATCGCATGGTGCTTAGAGGGGTTAAAGGTCATTGTCACAAAAGCTCAGACAAGGGGGAGGCCAAGGCCCAAGGGGAAACCCAGGGGGATGGGAACACTTTAGCAGGCCTGGATAAGACTTAGAGCTCCGACATGACCACAAGGGGAAATCAGCCTTCCATTTTCTAAAGAACCTGGGCAAGGCTATAGAACCACTCAGTAGGAGGGTCATCCCTTTACCTACATCTCCACAAACTTCCCCAGGGCTCCCAGCACACGTTCTGTTTTCACCACCGTTCATTTTGTTTTCACTACCCCCCTATTAGGCAGGCACTACTAATATTCCTATTTTTTTTTTTTTTTTTTTTTTTTTTTTTAAAGATTTTATTGGGGAATTGGAGGAGGGGAACAGCACTGGGGAATCGGGGGAAGGGGAACAGACAAGTTGCTGTCCTTTTGTTCTTCAGTCTAGTTGTGGAGGACGTTGCTTCACTGGCCCATGTTGGTATTATCATTGCGCTCTTCCCCAGGTGAGGCAGATCGGTCACACCGGCTGCCAGCTGCTCACACTGGCTGCTGCCCACTCACGGTAGCTCATGGAAGCCCCACTGCAACAGGGGCTGCAGCCTACGCCGTTACCGGCGACTCACGGTAGCCCAGCTCCACGTTGAGCTGTTGTTCACCATCTTGGCTGTAGAGGGCAGTGTCACTGGCCCTCATGTGGGATCCGAACCGGGGCCCTGCTGCTCACAGCTGGCGTCCCAAGCCAGCTCTTAACCAATGCGCCACTCGGCCGGCTCCCTAATATTCCTATTTTTACTATGAGGAATGAGATGTGGCAACAAAATAGACCCTCACTGGCAATGACTCAAATCTCAGCCATTTGGGCTGTAGGGTGGTTTCTGCCTCAGTTTCCCCACCACAGTGGGGTGACACTCTTACAGTGTATAGACAGCACTCTGAGTCCATGGTGAGGTTGGACTGCATCACACAATCCCCACTTAACAGACGCAGAAACTGGGCTCAGTCAGAGACATTACATAGGGACCAGCCCGGAGCAAGGAAGCAGAGCAAGCTCTCAACCCAGGTTGGCTACTGTCAGAGCAGGGCTGTCCCCATGCCTTGAACCCCGCTGAGCAAAGCAGGCTTCCTCTCCCTGCCAGACTGATGTGGCAAATTTGCAGGCGCACTTGGCCAGGTCTCAGGCTGTGGAGTGGGAACGATGAGAACAGTGATATTCTGCACTGCTTTAGATAGAGCCTCTACATACGCATAATCAGCTCGGTCCACCTTGACAACAGGCCGGCTGGGTGTAGCTGCTTATCTCCCATTTCACCATGAGCAAAGCCCCTCTGTAAAGACCCATAACCAGAGAAGGACACCTTACTTGTATCACTTCCCATTTCTTGAGTGTATCCTGTGTATGTCAACATGGAACCGAGTGCTTTACACACTTGCTGCCATTTGACACTTGGCCCTCACTGCATCTTTAAGCTCTACGTTCTGCCCCCACTTGATACATGCAGAAGCTACAGTTCAGAGATTAGATGACCCTCCAGGTGTCACACAGCCAGTGCAACATGGGGTAGGGGCTCTGAACCCAGGTCTGGCTCCAGCTTGCTGCCCTATGTTGCTCCACTCCCTGGGGGCTAAGCTAAAGGACCCAAGAGGTTCAAGGTGGCATCCTTATTAGGCTGAACCGTATGAAAATGCCACCTATGTAGGTTAAAAAATGGTTGGATATCAGCAGTTTCATATGGTTTGACCTAATGTCAACATTGCTCTGCAGGGTTCCATGTGGCAGGGACCTTCTGTGTTTATCAAACCTCTTTGAGGCATCAACTGTGTGCCAGCTGCTGGGTTAGCTTCAGAATGCACTGGGAGCAAGGGCGTCCTTGCCCTCAGGCCATTCAAAACACTGCCTGCCAGGACAGGGTGACCCAAGCTGCTCTACCACCCCGGAGAAGCTCCAAACCAGATCAGGGACATGGAGCTGCCATTAGGGAGAGCTTCCTAGAGGAAGTGGCAAGTTCCTTACAGCCTCCCTGAAGCAGGCACAAGAGAAATGGCTGGGGAATTATTGGCTGCTCGCTGACATTAAATGTACAGGCTCCAGAGTTCAACTCGTCTGGGCTGCTTCCTGACACCTAGGGCAAGGGTGCCATTCTAAGGCTCCATTTCCTCATCTTTATGGTGATAATGGCCACCTGGATCATTAAAAAGCTCACACCAAGTGGCCACCGACTCACCTGCTTTGTGGGGACCACTTCCCGCCTCATACAGGGCTACCCTGCAGGCTCCTTGTGTGGGGAATCCAGCCCCAGGCAGAAGGCCCTGGCCCAAACCAGGCCAACCACCACCCTCTATTCCAGCGGTTCTCAACCTGTGGGTCGCGACCCCTTTGGGGGTCAAATGACCCTTTCACAGAGGTCGCCTAAGACCACTGGAAAACAAAAAGATATTTACATGACGATCCGTAACAGTAGCAAAATGACAGTTATAGAATAGCAACGAAAATAATTTTATGGTTGGGGGTCACCCCAACATGAGGAACTGTATTAAGGGGTCGCGGCATTAGGAAGGTTGAGAACCGCTGCTCTATTCAGTTTCTGCCCCACTCTGGGGCAGCAACCTCCGTCTAGAGCCCCCTCTCTCCTGCCCTCTGCAAGCTTTGGAGGGACGTCCCTTTACTTGGCTGCCTCAGTGTCCTCCTCTTCCAGACTCCATTACCCTCAGGGATGGTGGAGACCTGATCAGGCCTCACCTTCGTGGGGCTTCTCCCCAGATGGGCCTGCCCACCACCCCTCCTATCCTGCAGTGACCGCTACAGCCACGGTATTGGGGTGAGGTTGCTTGGGTTCTCAAACTTATACAGGGAGCCCTGGGTTCCTAAAAAATTTAGGTTAGTAACTGCCCCAAGCACAGGTAATACCTGCCCCCACTTTAGGAATAAAGCCAGTGGGGCTCAGAGAGTGAGCTGACTAGAAACCAAATCTCCAACCCCCACCCCACACAGTGTCCCTTAAAAGCAAGGGCAGAGCCCAGGGTGCTCCTGACTTCGAGCCCGGGGCGGAGGGGGGTGGGGTGGCGGGGCGTCCCAGTCCCTTTGCCCAGCGCAGTTACCATCTTACCATCTCTAGGCTCGGGATCAACGCCCCGGAACCGGCCGGCGGCCCGGGCGTCCACCACCTGGAAGCGCCGGGATTCGATGTTCTCCTTGATGTCCTCATACAGTTTGATGAAGGCGGGGTCCAGCGCCGCGCGGAACTCTGCAGGCACCGGGCGGCTCTTCTCCGAGCTCAGCGGGAGGCCCTGGCGCAGCCAGTTGCGGAGGCCGCCGTCGAGCAGCGACACCGCGCGGTGGCCGAAGGCGCGGAACATCCACCAGACGCGTGGCGCCGAGAAGAGTCCCTGGTCGCTGGCGTCGTAGACCACGACATGCGTGGCGGCGCCCACACCCAGGTGGCCCACGTACTCGGCGAACTGCGCCGCGCTGGGCATCATGTGGTCGTAGGGCGACGTGCGGTCGCTGCACTGGTCGATGTCGAAGAAGGCGGCGCCCGGGATGTGGCGCTCATCGAACTCGCGGCGCGCGTCGCGGCCCGATTTGGGCAGGTACCAGGAGGCATCGAGCAGCTGTAGGGGCTGCCCTGCGCGTGGCACCCGCAGCGCCTCGGCAACCCACTGAGCCGACACCAGCGCGCGGAAGAGCTGCTGCGGGGCCATGGCGGCGGCGGTGACACCGGGGCTGCAGTCCTGTACAAGGAGGATGTCAGGAGGGAGTCAAGAAAGAGGCCGGCCGCGGAGGTGGGGCCGGGGTAGGGCAGAGTCCAGAGAACGCCGAAAACAAGCGGTGAACCCAGGTGCAGACTTCGGTCACCTGGGCTTCCCTTTCCCTTCCCTCCCCCACCAGAATATATGTCCAGCAGAGTGACCAAATGACCATGACCCCTGGAGAGGGCCAGGCGGGCCCACCACCACGGCTTGCTAGGGATAGGGGGCAGGTAGGAAGAGGATTGGAGCAGGGGAAGGCCACGGAGGGGCAAAAGACAGCCTTTTTGTAAGATGCACCCAGCTTCACTTGCAAACCAAGGATGGTCCCTAGTGAAACTCATATTCATTCATCAAACAGTTACATAAGCAGCCTAATAGGAAGAGTAGCTGGAATTTACTGGATCCTTGCTGCGCACCATTAACCTCACAATACCTTAGAACAGGCAGGCTCTCCATTATTTGTTGAGTGAGTGCCCTCAAGAGATTGGGTATTATTCTCACTGTTTTGGACTGCGCCACTGAGGCTCATGCAAGTGCACTAACTTGACAAAGGTCAACAGCTGAGCAGTGGTAGCACCAGGCTGCACATCAGACAGTCTGACACCAGAATTCAGACTTCTCACTGGCATGCACTGTACAGGCTCTGAGAATCGAGCAGTCAGATTTTGCCACTTGAGCCTGACCCTTCTCTCTGAACCTTCTTGTGGCAGTAGCAACAGTGACTTTAGTGCCTCACTCTCTCTTCCCTCCACTTCCCTGTAGGCTAGCAGCTGAGAGTGTACCAGCCCATGGTGACATGTCAGCCCATAACCTTCCAGGGCCGAGGTGCTCCCAATACGCTGAGTCCCTGGGCAAGCAGCCCCTAGTCCATTAGGTGCCTTGTGCAGGTTGGAGAAGGGTGCCCCTTCTGCCAGGCAAAGGCAGAGTCCCCATCAGGGCACATGGCTGGAGTGTGAGCTGCAGGTCAGTTCCCCTTACCCGCTCAGCCGTGCACCTGCAGTACAAGGCACAACCATTACATCCACACCAGCCACTGAGGGGAACGGGTAGGTAGAGAACAAGCATTTGGGGAGGGCCCTGTGGGCCAGGTCACAGGCCACCACATAGCCTTCAGTAGTGGGTCACAGAGGTGGTCGGGGGCAGCCTCAGGATGTGAAGCCAGATATCAACTCCTGAGGCTGGACATCTTCCCCAGTTCCAGGTCAATGACGCCCAGGGCCTAAGGAACCTTGTGCCCAGCCCCCTCCCACACTCTCATGGGTGGCTGGCATTTAGGAACACCTTGTTCACACGGTCAGGCCCTGTGCTGGATGCTGAGAAACTCTTGACTTTGCCAGGCCCTAGGATAAAGACAGGCCACAGGCCTACTTGAGAAATAATGTAATTGAGGAAAGTCTAGAGTTCAGTTGAGCTGGCTCAGCCTGGGGTGGGAGCAGAAGGGGTGGGAAGTCTCCCTAAAGGAGAGGGAAATCCAAACTGATTTGACCTTTTCAGGGGCCCTGGAAACCAGTTTGACCTTCGGGATGAGGAGGCTGCCAAGAGGGCTTTCTTTGGCTGAGGGGCAATGTCAGTATCTGTGGGTGACATCACAGCTAGATGATGAGGGATGCAGCTGGCCCCTTCTTAAAGAACCCATTTGTGAATCACATTAGCCCCTGCCCGCTACCATTCTTGGGGCTCCTTCACTCCATTTAGAGTGAAATGAACCCTGGTTTGGGAGTCAGACCTTGCTCCCCCACCCCTCCAGTGCAAATCCCACTCTGCGCCTTAATAAGTTACATGAGGGTGGGCATGTTAGGTTCCCTGCCCCGTTTCCATTTCTAATAATGGAGTTTCCAAGCCTTACCTCTCTTAGAGAAGAGTAAATGAATGTAGAGGGCCATCATGATGCACTGTATAAGGCTGGTTTTAATAATCATTAAAAACGGCTTGATAAAAATCCAATTATTTCTTCAAAGTTACACTCATAGATGGTCTTTGAACCGGCATCGGCATATCTAGAATCTTAGACTTTCAGGATTGGGTGGGACTTCAGAGGTCTGAGGTCATCCTGCCCCTCCCTCCCTACTGGATTGGCAGTTCTCACAAAGGACTGGGAGGTTGAGGAGGGCCTAGGACTGAGGGGCAGAGACTAGGTCCCTGTGTGCTTGGCAGGCCTGGACCCGCGTAGTTGGGAGCTCTGGGAGTGAAGGGCTCCAAGACATACAGGACACCCCCAGGCCCATCTCAGGAGTGTCCACACTGCACTAGGAGAAGTGTGAGCCCCAGGCTGCCATCTGGGGTGGGCCCTGGAAGAGCAGGGCTCCAATCAGACCGGGCATTCCTCAAGGACTTCCCCTAGCCCCATCCTTCCTGGCACCCTCTCTGTGTCCCCTCTGCAAAACACAAAGCTCAGAGGATTCGACGGGTAAATGTTTATCAAAGTATGAATTCTTGCAGCTTTCTGCGAGAATATAATTATTTCAGAATAAGCCGAATTTTTAAAGGGGGATGAGAAAAGCATTCCAGGCATGTGTAAATAGCACATGGCAAAAGCTGAGTAGGGCAGTGCTGTGCCACCAACTTGCAGGAACCAGTTGTTAGGCTTTCAGGAATGATGCCAACTGGTTGTTATACACAGCCATTGTTAAAAATTAAATTATATAAACAATTAAAAACAAAGGCAACAATTTTTAAAAGTATGAGGTCTCTGGAGGAGAAAGGCAGCCGGGACCACGTGGGCTTCAGATCTAACACAGCCTGGCCTCCACACCACCAGGCCTCTCTCTCTCTGGTCTTTAAATAAGTTTCTGGCCTGCTCCGCAGGGTTGTTGTGGGAACTAAGTAGCACCAGCAGGACGGAGTGCCTCACCAAGCAGGCCCTGACCAACGTTAGTTTCATTTCACTCCAGCAAGTTCTTTGCCAGTTTCTCCTCCTGGCACCTCGGGATCAGTCGGCCGCTCCCTGGCTTCTCCATTGGGCTCTATTAGTCTTCCTCTCTCCTTCCTACCGTCTTTAGTGGCACCAGGCGG